ATTCTATGAGCTCATCCCAGCAGCCGTCACCAGAGTTCCCAGAGAGGCCGGTGGCGTCAGGAGGGGGTGACTGGGTGGGAGGCGGCGGTGGTGGCTGCTGTGGCCACAAGGGGTGTGGGGTGGAGAGGGAGGCTGGATGGAACGCGCTATAATAGCGGCTTTGTGCTCTGCTTCCCAGCTCCCTGGGAACGCCAGGAAGATTATGAAACCCGGTGTCTTTGGAAATGCCAGGATATTAGCTGGAAAAAGAATAATACGAAAATAAAATAATGCTCGGGATGGAGACAGCAGACGATTAGCAGACGGAGCCAGGGCCTCCCGCTCCGTGGAGGGAGCCAGGCTTGGCCCCGGCAGAAGGTTTCAGGGAAAGGCTGCCCGTGCTAATGAGCAGACAGGGCCTGCCTTCCAACAAGACGTCTTCCAGAGGGGAGCTGGCAGGCAAGGCCCAGCCCGCTGGTGGACGTGTGGGTCAGGGAAAAGGTGGCAGGAAGCAAGGGGGCGCCACAGACCTGGTCCTGAACTGTCAGATTACCAGCAAGGCTACCTGGCTTCCACCCATGGTCCTTCCCCAGCCCCTGCTAGGCCTGCCTCCCAACATCCTTCTTCAAGAAGCCTCCCTCATTAGACACTGCCCCTCTGGAATGATTCTTATTCTACCTCCAACACTTCAAAGATGCAGATTCTAGGGGTTTATTTGCACTCACATGTGAACATCTCTCTTCTTGATCAGACAAGAGTTCCCCATGAGCCAGGCCTCCACCAGCAGATCAGGAGATCATTAGAAGTAAAGACCACGTTTCCCCCACCAAGCAGCAGGGAGAACATGTCATCTTGCCATACCTCCCTCTCCAGGACCCTGGTCACACACCTCCCAGCAGGAATGCACACGCTCTGCCTCTCTCAGAAGGGCACCCAAGTGGGGGGCCAATGGGAGCCCCATCTTGATGAGGCACTTTGTACTTCACATCTGTGCTATTCCGAGATGGCCCCTGCACCGGCGACATCAGCATCACGTGGAGGCTTGTTAGACACAGAGACTCTTGGGGCCTACCAGACCCTGAATCAAGAGTCTGCATTTTAACAATATCCCCAGACAGCGCCTACTTTTGCTAAGTCTGAGAAGCGCTTCGCAACATGCATCGTCGTTAATCCTTACAATGGCCCTGGGATTCAGTTACTTGCGCGAGTGGGGAAAGAGAGTCACTAATGGCATGAGTGACCTGTCCACAGCTAGTAAGCAGGGAAAGCAGAATTCGAGCCACAGAGGCCTCACGCATCCCACCAATGAGTCACCAGGCATCAGGGACCCGTGGGCAAAGACCAGCTCTCAGGACAGAAGCCGGGTCCTAGCACCCAGAAAATCCAACCACCTTCCCCAGGATGCAGGGAGGACCTTAGCCCCAAAGCTGTGCTGGGGCATCAGGACATCCCAGGACAAAGACAGCAGCTCGGCAGCGGGAGCCCAAACCATTCTGGGTCCTGGCAGGAAGATGGAAAGGAGACTGTGGAGGGGGAGTGGGAGGGTGAAAGAGAAAGTGTGTGTGTGTGTGTGCATGTGATTGTGTATGTGTTCGTGTGAGTGTGTAAGAGACTGTATGTCAGAATGTGTGTGAGTATGTATGTGTTGGTGTGTATGAGTGTGTAGAGAGTGTGTTGGTGTGTGTGAGGGTGTGTGTGTGATTGTGTACATTAGTGTGAGATAGTGGGGGGTGCATGAGAATGGGTGTGTGTTGGTATGTATGGGAGTGTGTGGAGCGAGTGTGTTGGTGTGTGTGAGGGTATGTGAGAATGTGATTGTGTATGTGTTAGTATCGGTGTTAGTGTGTGGGGGTGTTGTATGAGTGTATATGTGTGCGTTAGTATGTGTTGGTGTGTATGAATGTGTGGAGAGAGTGTGTTGGTGTGTGTGTTGGCGTAAGACAATGTGTGTGTTGGTGTGTATGAGTGTCTGAAGAGTGTGTGTGTTGGTGTGTATGAGTGTGTATTGGTGTGTATGAGTGTGTGGCGAGAGAGTGTGTGTTGGTGTGTGTGTTGGTGTGTATGAATGTGTGGAGAGAGTGTGTTGGTGTGTGTGCTGGTGTGTAAGACACTGTGTGAGTGTGTGTCACTCAGGTATAGAGTCTTCCAGACAGTCAAGTGGGCCTGTGGCCCTGTCCAAATGCCAGACACACCTAAACCTTCCAAAACTCTCTGCTCCTCCAGCTGCAGGTCTGTGGGATCCGCCCTCTGAAGCCATTACCTCCCTCTCTGGTTCTTTCCGCCAGCCAAGCTGTCCCAGGACTCAGGGCTTTGCCACATTGGTCTCTTCCATGTATCACAGGCAAGTCACAGGTGAATTACAATCCATCACCCGCCTATGGCTGCTGACTTCACGCCTGGTTTCAGCGATCCCTCAGGACACTCTCTTCCATGAGAAGAATACACAGATCGGTCTCTCTGCTTCTGGGAAGTGCCCCCCTCATTCTCCCAGGCGCCGAGCCATGAAAGCTTGGCCTGGGTCCCCCAGCCTTGTCACTTTCTTCCTCCAGGCCCTAGCCAGCCCGAGGGCCCATCCACGCTTTGTCCACGTGTCTCCAGTCACCTCTATCCCACTCCCAGCCCCCTCGGCTCCCCGATCCAGCCTTCCTGCCCTGGGCCGCCTGGCAGGCAGCCATCAGCTCTGTCTCCCTCACACAGCACTTCACCGTGTGTGTCAGCCTTGCCAGGGCCAACCGTGAACTCATCACAGCCCGCCCCACCCCGCCTGCGGCCTGGCAACCACAGGGGCCCCACTGTCCACCTCTGACTCTTCCCTCCCCAAACCCTGCAGTCCCACCTCCCTCCACCTCAGCCCCACGGCCTCACGCCAGGTGGTCACCTCTCGTGGATCTCTACCCAAGACTCCTGAGGCTTCCTGATGGGAGCCAAACATCCTCTATGGCTGCTTGACTGATGGTCCTAAAGCCCAGCTCTGACTAGAGAACTCCTCTTGTCAATAACTGACACTGGCTCCCTAGTGCTCTGGTCACTGTCTAGACCATCTGGAGCTCTTTGCCCAACACTGCTTTGGTTTTTGGTTTTTGTTTTTCTTTTCAGAAGCTCCTTTCCCCAATCTGGTGGCACTGTCAATCACAGAGAAGGGGCATGGCCCATGCCAGCCAATCAGAATGTTCCATCCCTCACCCAGGCGCAGGGGCTGGCGGGGCACCACCAGGCAGAGCCGGTCAGTCATGCCCCAGACTTCACTGACATTACTGAGAAAGCAGCACTCGGGGGTCTCCAGCTGCAAGGAAAACAGAGTGTGGCGCTGTGGGCTGGGCTACTTTATCCAGCAGGACTCTGCTGACCGGAGGGACGATGCTGGCCTTTCGTCACCAGCAACATCTTTGCTACCACACAGAGAGAGCCCGTATGAGACAAGGCCAAGACGGGGTACAAGTCTTGGGGACAGTGTGTGAACCTGTTTCCTGCCAGGCCTAATGCCTGCTTCACCTCTTGGGTTCTTCCCAGCTCTGTGAGCCCACAAACCCCTTTTCTCCTCAGCTCCTTCAGGTGGAGCTCTGGCTGATGGAAACAGTTCCTGATTACACAGGGTGCCTTCCTGGCCTTCTCAGACCTGGCCCTGACTCTGACGCCTGCCAAGGTCTTTATACCCCACCCCTCAGCTAGAGCCACAGGACCATCACCAGCCCCTGCCCAGTGTCCAGGCCAGGCCCTTTCTGACTCAAAGCAGAGGGGGCCACAGAACACCAGCCCCACCCCAGGAGGCTCCCCAACTGCTCTGACCTCGGCAGCAGCTCCATCCTATCCTGCCCCACCCTGGCCAGAAGACCAGTCCACAGTCCAGAGCCGAGAGTTCCGCTACCTCCCCTCAGCCTCCCCTTGACCTGGCCGCAGGACAAGGGAGGGGCTCTCTCCAAAGCCTATGGCAGGCTCCTCTGACGTCCTCAGGCCCCCAGAGAGCTTCCTCTCCTATACCACCACTGCTGGGCCTTACCCACCATCGAGGCCTGAGACTGACAGAGCCTCCCCAGCCTGCCCACTCACTCTCAGGGCCACTGCTGGCTTCACCTCCCTGCCGGTGCCCAGCCCAACAGATCCTGAGCCTCCCCACAGCACTCCTCCTGCCTTCAAAGTCAGACTGTCCTACAGATAGGTGCCCAGCCTGACCCCAATCACACAGCTGGCTTCACATGGACACCCTCACATCCCATGGGACCCGCTCTCTAGGGCCCAAGCCCAAACCCCCCAGGGAGGTGCCAGTCCTGGCTGGATTTCAGAGGAAGCAGCTCCTTCCCCAGCAGAGCGGGGACTGGCTATGTGCCAGTACCGAGTGCTCGCTCAGACTGTCCCCGAGGCACCTGCTCCTCTCTTTTGGGGAGCCCATCACCCAGGTCCTGGAGAACCTTGAGCCTACCCTAGTTCCACTGGCTACAGAAAGCGCACCCTGGGCAGGAAAGCCATCCTGGGCTCAGCGTCTAACAGAAAGTGCACCCTGGGCAGGGAAGCCATCCTGGGCTCAGCATCTAACAGAAAGTGCACCCTGGGCAGGGAAGCCATCCTGGGCTCAGCTTCTGAGGCACACCTCTTCCCCAAAATTGCTGGGGATGCCCAAGAGATGGTCTCTGCCTCAAGAGGATGTACGTGCAACCAAGGACACTCTGGGGCCACAAGACCTCTCTCACTCCTCCCAAGGGCCTCCTCGCCCATCTTCATGCCAGCCAGCCAGGCACAGGTCAGCCAGATGGCCAAGGGGAACCCTCTGCTTTCATCTTGACACCTCAAAGTAGTAGCAGCAAGTGTTTCAGTGCCAAGGAAGCTTTTTCATTTTAGGAGAACACCCAGACTGGGGCTGCTTTCCCCACATGCCGCCCCACAGATACAGACGCCAGGATGACCAGCCAGTGTTCCATCTGAAAGTCCTAACCTGGGGTCCCTGTGCCTCTCCCACGTCAGCCCGAACAGCCCTGGGTAACCAAGATCCACCCCACCCGACCCAGGACAAGCGCAGCCCCACGTACCAGGGCCCCCTCGAGGGCAAACACAGCTGCAGGCCCCGTCTTCTCCAGGGGCTCCATGCGGCGGCGCCAGCGGCGGCGGCGGAAGGCGTCTGTCTTGCGGTACTCGAGGTGGAACTTCCAGCCAAAAAGAGAGGCGTACTCCCAGCCCTCGCCCTCTGCCTCCGCCTGCCTATGCTGCACAAGAGAAGGGGCAGACTCAGAGGCCAGTGGGAAGGCTGGGGGAGTCCTGTGCTCAGCTCTACCTTTGCCTTCCTGTCCTCCATGACAACTCCCCACCAGCTCCCACACCAGACCCTCCAGGTGGGAAAACCTGGGAGAGCCACCTAGAGGAGAGAGGCTTTCTGCAGCCACAGGAACCTCGGGTCAGAAAATCAGGAGGGGAGAGGAGGCTCCGTGGGCTGCGGGGAGAACCGAACACCCAGAAAGGGAAGGTAGACTGACGCCGTGATGAAAACACTGGGCTTTTGACTTGCTTATTTGTTTGAATTCTGGGTGGATTTCATGAATCCAAAGTTTTCTTGTCATTTCCTTTTTCATCTTCACATCCTGTAATGGGTCTGCAGCTCACAGGTAAAAGAAAGATCCTATTTCCCAACCACAGCCAATTTCTCCCCAGGGGGTAGACCCAACTCAGCTGTGGAGGCACCCCCTGTACCTCGTTCATGGGGTCCCTTTCCCAGGCCTGAAGGGAGTCCTGGGAACCCCCTTGCCATTCAGTTCCTGAGAGAGAGTGACCTGGCACTGTCGTCAGACACCACCTCACGTCTGGGCCAGAAGCACAGTGACAAGGGCTAGTCCTGGAGGCCAGCTGTGCCCCTCTCCAGGAAGGATGCTGGCTGTGGGGTGGCGGGCAAGGCACATGAGCCTGGGCAGGCTTTGCCTCTGTCTGCTAGATGCCCCTTCAGGGAGAAAGTTGAATCTGTCTGGTTCACAGAACCAGGAACAGCTGGTTGTCCAAAAGCCTTGCCCCTCCCTGGACCCAGCAACAGTCCTCTGTAGGTTCTCTGCCCCCAAGGAGAAAGGAAGGAACCTGGGTCATGCCACAGGCTACTCCTGAACTAAGGGAGGTCTGGTTCTTCAGCCAAAATTCAAATGTGCGTTTAGAAAGGAAGATCATAGACCAAGAAGGTTCAGGGGAGGCAGGCACAGAGGCTGTGCAGCGCACAGGCCCCTGTGTGACCCCAGAGCAAGTGCACATGCTTGCGTGGGTTCATCCGTGTGTACGATGGGCCTGACAGTGTCCTGTGGCATCTGTGCTTAACTGTAGGCATGTATGCTTGCGTTGCATGAATGCCAATGGGGCCCGCCCCAGCCCCTTCACCAGCCAGTGTACACATGTGGCGCACCCATCCCCAGCTGCCATCAGCATCGACAACTCCCAGCTCCCAGAAGTTACCTGCTCCGGGGAACCCCCATGCTAAAGGAAATCCCCTCACTGAAGAGATAGGTATGTGCTCCAGCTCACCCCAGCAACCCCAAGCTTAGACAAATGACTAAGAGGATACAAAGCCCAGCCCTGCCTCCAGGTGAGGATTCTGTGGTGTTCCAAGTTGTGCACCTCCCCAGGCCACAGCTCAGGCCCCAGATGACCTGCCTGAAGCTGCATCCTTGCTCCTCACACTCCCAAAGGCACTGCCCCAATAACGTGCAGCCAAATCCACGTCTTAGCCTCTGCCTCCAGGAAACCCAGCCTAAGACACAGTCCGTGGGTGTCTTTCCATCTTCCAGGTCAGTGTGTGAACTTTGCATGTGATCTCCTGTAATCATGGGCATCTGAGTGTGTCTGTCTATAAGCATCTGTGTGTGTGGTGGGTGCAATCTGTGAGTGTGTTGGGTGTGATCTGTGCTGGGTGTGATCTATGGGTGTGCTGGGTGTGATTTCTGTATGCTGGGTGTGATCTGTGGGTGTGCTAGGTGTGATCTGTGCATGTGCTGGGTGTGATCTCTGGGTGTGATCTGTGCTGGGTGTGATCTGTGCATTTGCTGGGTGTGATCTGTGTGCTGGGTGTGATCTGTGCATGTACCAGGTGTGATCTATGGATGTGCTGGGTGTGATCTGTGTGTGCTGGGTGTGAACTGTGTGTGTGCTGGGTGTGATCTGTATGTGCTGGGTGTGATCTGTGGGTGTGCTGGGTATGATTGTGTGTGCTGGGTGTGATCTGTGCATGTGCTGGGTGTGATCTGTGGGTATGCTAGATGTAATCTGTATCTGCTAGGTGTGATCTGTGCATGTGCTGGGTGTGATCTGTAGGTGTGATAGGTGTAATCTGTGTGTGCTGGGTGTGATCTGTGCCTGTGCTGGGTGTGATCTGTGGGTGTGCTAGATGTAATCTGTGTGTGCTGGGTGTGATCTGTGGGTATGCTAGATGTAATCTGTGTCTGCTAGGTGTGATCTGTGCATGTGCTGGGTGTGGTCTGTAGGTGTGATAGGTGTAATCTGTGTGTGCTGGGTGTGATCTGTGGGTGTGCTGGGTGTGATCCATACTGGATGTGATCTGTGGGTGTGCTGGGTATGATCTGTGTGTGCTGGGTGTGAACTATGTGTTTGCTGAGTGTGATCTGGGGGTGATCTGTGGGTGTGCTGGGTGTGATCTGTGTGTGCTGGGTGTGAACTGCGTGTTTGCTGAGTGTGATCTGGGTGTGATCTGTGGGTATGCTGGGTCTGATCTGTGGGTACGCTAGATGTAATCTGTGTGTGTGCTGGGTGTGATTGTGTGTGCTGGGTGTGATTGTGTGTGCTGGGTGTGATCTGTAGGTGTGATAGGTGTAATCTGTGTGTGCTGGGTGTGATCTGTGGGTGTGCTGGGTGTGATCTGTGGGTGTGCTAGTTATAATCTGTGTGTGCTGGGTGTGATCTATGTGTGTGCTGGGTGTGATCCATACTGGGTGTGATCTGTGGGTATGCTGGGTGTGATCTGTGTATGCTGGGTGTGAACTGTGTGTTTGCTGAGTGTGATCTGGGTGTGATCTGTGGGTGTGCTATGTGTAATCTCTGTGTGCTGGGTATGAACTGTGGATGTGCTGGGTGTGAACTGTGGGTGTGTGTGTTTGGTGTAATCTGTGTGTGCTGGGTATGAACTGTGGGTGTGCTGGGTGTGATCTGTGGGTGTGTTGGGTGTGATCTGGGTGTGCTGGGTATGAACTGTGGGTGTGCTGGGTGTGATCTGTGTGTGCTGGGTGTGATCTTTGGGTGTGCTGGGTGTAATCTGTGCATGTGCTGGGTGTGATCTGTGGGTGTGCCAACTGTGATCTGTGTGCTGAGTGTGATCTGTGTGTGCTGAGTGTGATCTGTGGGTGTGCTGGGTGTGATCTCTGTGCTGGGTGTGATCTGTGTATATGCTGGGTGTGATCTTTGGGTGTGCCTGGTGTGATCTGTGAGCACCTCCAGTGAGTCCCAGGTGTCTGTGCATACCATGTGCACACATGCAGGTGTCTCTGTGCATGCAGGTCTGCACCTGTGCCTGCTGGTCACCTGCGATCAGGGGCCTCACTCCCACCCACCATCTGCTGGCTCACCCTCTTCAGCGCTTCCATCTGGCTGAGATCCCTCCTCCGCAGGCGCACCCAGCGCCGCCGTCGGTGTGTGTAGTACATCTTCTCAGCAGGGACCCAGTGCTTCGGCTTCCGGTCCGGGGGGATGGTGATGCTATACTCCCAGCCTGGGGGAGGGGGAACCCGTCACTCATTGCTTGGCAGTTCCCCATCTCTCCTGGGACCATCTCTGAATTTGGGGCATGGTCACAGACTCTTGAGCGGCCACTGACTCTCGGTCCTAATTTGTAGCTTGGAGTGGGGGTGCCTTCAAGAAGTGTTCCGGGGTGGGTGAAATAGCCCAGTGAAGGGCCCTAGCATTCAGCTGTCCCCACCAGCATGGCTTGAGAGCTCGCCGGGGATGGGGCTCACCAGGCTCCACATGCTACCCACCTTGCTCATCGACAGCCCGGTTGAGGTCTGTGGACCATTCCTCATCTTCCCACTTCCAGCCCAGTGGGCACTCAATGTCATCTTTGGGAAGCACCTTCTCCCCGTTCTAAGGACAAAACCGAACAGACAAGCAATGAGAGGAGACAGACAGATGTGAGCAGGGAGGCAGAAAAGATACAACTTGACAACATACGTCCTCGAAGTCCCAGATAGAAGGGCAGAGACCCAGAGTCAGTGTCCTGCCACCACTGCACCCCACACTTTCCCTCTGGAAACCAAAGCATGAAGGCTCCGGAGGTAGGAGGGGGCAAGGAAGAACATGCCCCAGCCTCCCCTGAGGCCCAGGTGCCTCCAGAGACCAAATGTCTAGACCCCAACTGCCCCTGAGCGCCTGGTTTACCACATCGGTGTAGTTGTCACTCATGTAGATCCACTGGCCTCCGGGAAGCCGGGTCTGGTTCTCAAACACCTCCTCCACAAAGTTCAGGTGACCGGCGTCCATGTCATGGAGCAGGCTGTGGAGGAGGGCTGGTCAGAGTCTCCACTGGAGAGGCCCCTATCCATCCACCACCTCCTGGAGAGCACCCCTGCCCATGTCAGCCTCACCCCAACCAACAATGAGAGACATGGGGGTGGGAGGCAAGGGTGCAAGAGACCAAGGCAGAGAGTGAAAAGGAGACCTAGGGACACCCTGGGATAATCAGGGACAAAAGAGTACATCACCCAAGATAAAGAGAAAAGGAGGCCAACTGAAGACAGCAAAAGGAGGATGGGCAGCTGAGACTTGATGGATAGTTGTAAAAATATAAAGTGTTACCAAGTTGTACTCGTAAGATTTGAGTGCTTGACTGTATAACATATTATACTTCAATGTTTTTAAGTAAAAAAAAATTAAACACCACAGATTTGAATGCCAACCAAACAGGAAAAGGAGAGGGGAGAGAGGCAAAGGCAGGAATAGACATGGAGAAGGACCACATAGATCTGAGAGGGACTGAGAGAGAAAGGACCACTCAGGGGATGTGTGAGCAGTCCAGACATGAGAAGGGTTCATGTGCAGAGGAGGTGATGGGCTTGTCCTGGGTGTCTTGGAGGATGGGGCCACACCCAATGGACACCACACAGAATGGAGGCTTAAGAATAAAGGCCTGGCCAGGCGTGGTGACTCAAGCCTATAACCCCAGCACTTTGGGAGGTTGAGGAGGATCACTTGAGCCCAGGAGTTCAAGACCAACCTGGACAACATAGTGAGACCCTGTCTCTACAAAAAAATTAAAAATTAGCCAGGCACGATGGCACACACCTGTGGTCCCAGCTACTCAGAAGGCAGGAGCAGGAGGATCACCTGAGGCCAGGAGGCTGAGGCTGCAATGAGCTGTGATCATGCTACTGCACTCCAGCCTCCAGACAGAGCAAGACTGTCTCAAAAAAAAATTTTTTTTAATGAAAAGAATAAAGGACTGTCTGACTATCCAAGCCCTTCTGGAAAGCACTGCTGCCTGGCGAGCCTCAGTGCTGGGAAAGTTCAGTGAAGTTCCTATGACCAGCGCAGGAGCAAGCAGAGGGATCAGCAGAGCCCCAGCCTGCCTCCAAAAGGAGGGTGCAGTCCATGGTGGGCAGCCTGGCCTGGCTCTCCCCAGTCCTCCCTGCCCACGACTCACGTCTTCTCCGGACACACGAACCAATCTCCAGCCCAGGTCCAGCCGGCCGAGGGGCGGAAGCTCTCTTTGGGTAGCTTGATCTTGCCGGTGACGTCAGAAAACTTGGGGTAGGTGAGGCCCGTTGTGCCCCAGTTCCCGACCAGGGCCAACTTGGTCTGGTTCTCATACTGGAGGGCCAGGAAGAATGAGACGTGAACAGGGGGCCCAGGCAGCTCCAGGGTGTGGGAGGCAGAGGTGGGGGCTGCAGGCACTCACGGTTTCAGCAAAGACAGACAGCTTCCCCTCAGCAAACTGGTTGAACTCCTTCTCATCCACAGAGAGCCCAAACCACAGCTTGACCCGTATCTGCACTGGCATCCGGGCCCCAGGCACCTTCTCCATCGGATACTGGGTACCAGAGAAGGACAGAAACCCACAGTCCCCTTCAGGATCCAGATGTCCCAACGAGAGCCTGAGGAGGAGTCCTCCAGGGCTAGGTAGACCAGGCTGACACCCTCACTGGGAGTGTCCCCTGTGGAAGCGCTTACCAGAATTGCATGGAAGGGGAGCATACAATTGAGAAATGCCCATCCCACCCCCCATCCCTCACCAAGATTCCTCGCCATCAAAGGCAAAGGCTACATCATTCCCTTCTAGGAGCACTCTGCAGAGAGGAACCATGTCTAGCCCAGGATCTCTCCTCTCCCCTTCTCCCACCACATCCTCGCTTCCAGTTTCTTCTGGAACAGTGCTTGCCAATGGAACGTTCTATGATGAAAATGGTTTATATCTTCACCATCCAATATGGTAGTCACTAGCCCCATGTAGCTACTGAGCACTTGAAATGTGGCCAGTATGACTGGGGAGGTAACGTTTTCGTTTCATTTACTTTTAATTAATGCAAATTTAAATAGCCATCTGTGGCTACCATATTGGACAGCACAGTTCTAAAACTTGTCTCTAAAGGAGACACAATGATACAGATCTGGAAGGAGAAGAAATTAAAGCCTCCCCCTTCAAGTTTAATATTGTATTTCTTTGGTTAGTGTATCATCTAATATCCCTACCCTTTCAAGTGATTATCAGCGTGTCAACCACTGTTCACTGGTCTTCAACTGCTTTTTATCCTGAAACTTTCAGAAGCTCTGCCAAATGGGATAACCACAACAACCCAACATGAAACAGAAATTATTCTCCACAATTACTTCACCATTTGATTGAAACCCAAGGTCAGACATGGCCTGAGGAGCAGAAGCTTCTGCTCTTAAAATTCACATTGTCCCCTAGAGGAGGCAACACATTAAGTATCCAGGCCTAGTGTCATGAGCTCAAAGCAGTATATCCTCTGGGGCAGGGAGCCGCGTGAGCAAAGGGGTGGGTTCAGAAAAAGAAAGGGCGGCTGAGGTAAGGTGTCCCACGCTGGTCAGGGAGGCCTGGATCCCTGGAGGGAGAGCCCAGGGCAGGTAGGAGGCTCAGGAAGGGGCAGAGGACATGCCAAGGCCGGGACCACCTCATACTTCCCTCCTGCAGACACAGCCCCGCTTCTTTTGGTTCATCTTCAATGAAGCCTGGAGGAGCCCCTGAGTCCACGTGTCATGCCCCGGGGAAACCTCTCCATGGCTGTTCGCTTAGGCTGTCCTCTCCCCCGGGTGGTTAACTGCCTTTACCCTCCAAACCACCAGCCCCAGGGAGATGGCAGGAATGCCTGACCCCCACTTCCCCCATCCACCCCCGGCTCTCTCCCCTGTCCTCCCCCAGACGGGGCCAGCCTGCCGGACCCAAAATAGCAACAGCAAATAAAGAAATGTCTAGTTTGGGGCTCCTCTCTCTCCCTGCTGGTGCTCATTTTTTCCAACTTTGGTTTAAGTTCAGAAACACCAGTGTTTTCTTGGTCTCTGCTTGCTGCCAACATTTTTGTAGAGCTTGCTCAGGAGCTACTGGCGGGGCTCATAAACTCAGTGGGGAAGACTTCGAGAAACAATTCTATATCTTTTTTTGTTTTTTTTTTTTGCTTGAAACCAGGGAAAATGTTTCAGTTTGCATTTCCCTGAGGCTACATGGCCAAGAGGTCAGAACCTGGAGCTCGTCCCCTCCCAGCGAGTCCACCAGGCACGATTCAGCAGCACCCCCGCTACTCTCACAGACAGCCTTCCCGTCAGCCCCGCTCAGATGCGGCCACTCCTTGACTGCCTTCCCTTTTTGCCCTACCAGGCCAGGAACTGGCTTAGGAGGTAGATTCTCAGAGGTTAGGCTCTGACAAGCACAGGAGGTTAGAAGCTAATGGGAAACATGCCCCAGCTGGCACGTGAGCAGGTGGATGGGGGCAGCCTACTGCCCAACACACAGACACACACAGACATAACTTACTCACACAACTGTGTGCAGACATGTACTATCCCTGGCCTTCAGCTGGCCTCTAGTCATGGCACGCATAGAGCAGGGGAGCTCCCCAAAAGGAAAAGGGGAGAGGTGGGGAGAGAAACTAACATCCATTGATCACTTATTTCCAGCAAGTCCCATCACCTGTGTTACCTAACTCAACCCTCAAAACCTGTAAAATGGGCAGCCCCACCCACCCTCATTTTACAGATGATAAGACAGCAGGCAATTCAGAGAGGTTAAGCAACCTGCCCAAGGCCACACAGAGCTCCAGTCAACCGTGGCATCCTCTGTGCTACTGAAACCTGTCCTCTCCACACCCTCCAGGGGACAACAAGACGACTGGTCAATATACAAATGCGTCTAGGCATCACTCGGGGCTCTGCTCCCAGGTTCAGGCTCGAGGCTAAAGTAAGTCAACAACGACTTCCTGGAAGAGGGGAGGAGGGAGGAGAGATGGGGAAGGTCGAGCGCGGAGGGGTTTTAGGGAGGTGGACTAGGCTGGATGAAGACCCAGTGGCTTAGGTCGAGGAGGCCTTGAATGCTAGCAGAGCTATTCAGGGCAAATGAAAAGAGATAAGGAGGGCTGGCGCAGTGGCTCACCACTGTAATCCCAGCACTTTGGGAGGCTGACGGGGGCCGGATCACCTGAGGTCAGGAGTTCGAGACCAGCCTGGCCAACAGGGTGAAACCCCGTCTCTACTAACATTACAAAAAAAAAAAAAAAAAAAAAAGAGCTGGGTGGGGTGGCGAACGCCTATAATCCCAGCTACTCGGGAGGCTGAGGGAGGAGAATCTCTTGAACCTGGGAAGCAGAGGCGGCAGTGAATGGAGATCACACCACTGCACTCCAGCCTGGGCAACAGAGTGAGATTCCATCTCAAAAAAAAAAAAGAGGTAAGGAGCAGGCTTGCTTCTCAGGGCCGCTCCTCCCCAAGCAGGGGCAGCCTCACTGATAGCCCTTCAAGGAGGGCCCTCCCTTGGGCCTGGGCAGCCATCGTGCAGGGAGGGATCTCCCGCATTATGTCCTACACACCAGGACCACAGCAGCCTTGGCTCTATGTCTGCACATGAGCCTAGATGGGCTCTCCCCAAGCACCTGCTCACCTCCCAGCCACCCATCCCCAAAGCTGGTGACACCCCTGGAAAGGAGGAAGAGGGAGCAGGGATGGGTGTTGGAAGAGGAGAAAGGGCAGGAGAGGTGGGGGCTGGTGAGACCAAGGGACACAATTACATGCTCCCAGCTCTCCAGTGGGTCTAGCTTGTGGTGCGCCTGTCCCAAACCCCAGATACCAGCCTTCCCAGCAGAGGGACCCGAGCCTCAAAGTGACTCCAGCTCCAGTCCAGGGCACTGGGGTTGGTGTGGAAGCCAGGTCATGCAAGGCCTGCTAGTGCCTGGGAGCTGAGGACTGAGGCCTCCTCATAAAAGACACCTGCCTGGAAGGACAAACACAGCCGCAGGGGTCAGCCCTCTGACATGGCCTGGACCACAGACTCCACCTCATTCACTCCCAGCGCCAGTGATTCCAGCTCAAACCTACTAGGTCCTACACTAGGTGCAGGGGCCTGGGGACTTTGGGGGAGACCGAGGAAAAGGAAAGTTGTTTTACCCAAAGACCTCCTCTCCTTCCAAGACCACAGCCTAAGAATTAAGATAGGTCAAGAACAGGAGGGGGAAGCAGAAGAGGTGGGAGAAAGGCCTTGTGTTGGGAAAAATATGATCATGATTTGGGAAAAAAGAAAACTCACTTTCAGAAAGATTGTCTGCAACTTCCCACAATTCTTGCCACAGAAGTTGGCACCCCGCCGGGAGAAGAGGACTTGGTGGGCGGGCACCCGCTGGTATGCCACACGCTTGTCTCCCTGCAGCATCCAGATGATGATATCCGGCAGGCTGTTCTGGGGCTGAAGAGAGGGCGGTGGTCAGGGTGGGGATGGTGACACACCAGGCCCACGCCCCACAGCCACACCGTGAGCTGACCTCTGACTCAGAGGCCACAGAGGCCTCTCCTCTCCCAGCTTCCATCCCACATGCTGCCCACCCTGGCCTTCCCCCAGACCTCCCAGGGCTGGCCGGTGTCTGGCTTGAGTGGCAGTAAGCCCCCAGAGGACAGAGCATAAGGCGGCCCCCAGCTCACATGAGAAGCCTGCCAAGGTTACTGAGCTGAGTACATCCTTCTGGGAAGAGACACTCCTGCCTGGACCTCAGACCTTACATTCTTAGGTCCTCGCTACCAGGTAGACATTCCCGGGGGCAAACATCAGAGAACGAGATTTGACCAGGGAGGTAACATTATGCCTAGGACACCACCCACGTTCCTCAGTCCCGAAAGCGGGAACAGATCCATGGAAGGTACGCCCTTCCCAGAGGACACACACCCTCCTCCCCTAGCAGCAGGATTCCCGTGGCCTGAAGACACTGGACTCTGAAAATGGTGACTAGTCCGGAACGAAACTGCGAGGCCCCTAAGCCCCTCCAGCATGATTGACAACTGCTCCCAGCTGCACACTCTGGCGAGCAGGCTGATTGGGTAAGGGTCCATTTGCTTCCAAGGATGGTGAGCAAAGTGAGCCCAAGTGGAGCCAGGTCTCCACCCAGGGCTCCTGCTGAGCTGATGCTCCTGCAGCACAGGTGAAGCATGCCCATGCATCACTTCACTGAACCCCAACAGCGAGCCCAGGAGGCAAGACAGGCAGCCCCATTTGACAGGTGAGGAAATTCAGGCTTCGAAAGCTTAGGAACCAATGCAGGTTTTTCTGACTCCAAATATGCGTTCCTAGCCACTATACCAGGGGTTCTCAATGTGGCGCCCACAGCAGCAGCAGCTTCTGGGAACTTGTTAGAAATGCATATTTTCAGGCTCTGCCCCAGTTCCATGAGGGCCAGGAACTCGAGGGGTGGGCCCTAACCTGCTTTTCACAAGCCCTCCAAGGGATTCTGATGCACATGCAAGTTTGAGAAGGGCTCTCTCCACGGGGCCCTTACAGTAACAGCACTGTTCGACCTTAACCCCTTCCAGTCATATCACAATTGATGCTTAGAATTCAGGGGTCAGTCTGGGCTGAGATTACAGAGAGCAGCCCATGACCAGCCTGAGGGGTTGTTCTGCTGCCACTGTGAGGGGTTGGTCCACAGCTGAGCAACACAGTGTCCGCCAGGGAACCAGCCTGTGCCTATAGGCCCTGCTGACTCCAGGGACCCACATCCCTTCCTGAGCAGCCTCCCTCTCCCCTTCCACAGCTTCCTCCAGTAGCCCCTCTCCTGGCCCTGCCCTTCTCACACTCCTGGGGAGAGCCCCTACCTCCTGCCTGGGAGTCCCACATGAGTCTGGTCAGAGCAGGCAGCAGCGATGTCTGCCCACCACTTGTGAGCAGACCCTTCTCATTCCAGACAAATCCCTGACCTGCCTGTTTGCCAGGGAACGGGATGGGTGCATCTGGCCACACAGACCTCAGGGGGAGGTTCTGCAGGTGGGGAAATAGTTCCCCAAAGACAAACCAGAGCCGGTCCTCTCTGATCAGATACAGCAAAGCTCAGAGTTACTGAAAATGTAGCCTTCTTGCACCTGGGGCTCAGAGGCATCCAGGACAACAGGAAACAGAGGGTCCAGGCAGGGGAGGTTGTTGGCCAGGTGCAGACAGGCACTGGCTGGCAGGAAGAAGGAGTCGGGAACCTGGAGAAGCAGGCCCTGGCACTGAACCTAGAACCAGGCACCTGGATTCTGGTTCCAGCTCTGTCTCTGACATACTTTGGCAAGCAGAGGGCATTTATTAGTTACCTATTGTGTGCCAGGTTCTGTGCCAGGCCCCATAACACCCAGTATCCCATCACACCCTCTCTCTTCCTTCTATAAATTGGTCCATTGAAGTTCAGAGAGGTTAAGTCACCTGCCCAAGGTCACCCAGCAATGGAACCAGGGTGGATAATAATCCAGACATTCCCCTTGAGCCTGCCAGTTCTGATGTTCCAGGCAGCAGGAGAGCAGATGAAGAAAGGTACCCGCAGGCTTAATTACCTCCTCAGCGAGGGCACGCAGACGCAGGAGCCAGTCCTCAGCCTGATCCAGAGCAGCAGGGAGCTCACTGTGGCCAAGCTTCAGGGCCAGGGCAGCCTCCGTGATTTGGCTCAGGTGACGGGTGCGCAGCCGGTACAGGTACTCGTCCAGGTGGGTGGCAGAGGGTATCTCATGGATATCACCCAGAGGCTGGCTGTGACGGACAGACAGATGGAGTGCACCTGATGAGCCCAGGGCTCCCCCAGGTCCAGGCATGCACATGTGTTGGGGTTCTCACAGCAGGCCCCACCCCCTCCGCCTGCCTGCTGGGTGCCTTCTCCAGCTGGCTCCACAAGCACAGCCATCTCTGTGTGATGTGCTCCATCCTCACCTCCTCCAGGAAGCCTTCCTCACCCATGTCAGCCTACATGCCTCCTGATGTGGAGTCCCCAGCCCCCGATTCCAGGACTGCCAGTTTGGAATCTGTCCTCAACTCCAGTCCGGTGAGTTCTTTTGCACATATGTTCCCCTCTGCCCCACTGACTACAGGCTCTCAGAGGGCCCAGGGGGTCCCGCTCCTGCCCCCTGGATCCTCCTAGAGTAGAGGCCCCAGCGCTGAGTGCCTGCACTGAAACAAGCCCGCTCTGTGCTGTGTGTCCGCATTCTTCAAGGAAGAAATTTAGAAACCCCTGAAAAGCCACTGCAGGCACTGCGGGGAGGCCAGCAGCTCAGATGTATCCACCTGAGGTGGGGTGGGGAGCCATGACAGAACCCTTCCCAGAACCCTCTGTTTTGGGAAGCCTTTGGAGAGGAGGTGGGGGGTACATGCAATGCCAGAAACACAGCCCTGAGCCCTGAGAGGTAGGAAGTCAGGTTTAAGCTCAATCCTGTTTAGAGGCAAAGAACTCTGACCTCCCCCATCCCACAGAGGCACCCTAAAAGTCCTTCATATGGCTCCTCCTCGCCATTCCAAGCCCAGGGGTCGGTACCCACACAAGCGCCATACAGAAATGCGGCCGGGCGGTCTGTGCACTCTCTAACCAAGCAGGACCCCGCTCCATTTTCCCTGATTGAGGGTATGGGGGCTGCCCTGCCCCCACCCCACCCCACCCCCTTGACTCCCAAACAGGACATTAGTCAAACCCGCTCCACCAGGTCTGCTCCCACCACTTGCAACCCCCCCACCTCCCCTCCCCGCAGCGTCTGACTCCCGGCTCCCGGCTGATTTATTTTTCTGCCAATTTCCCCGAGCTATGCAGAACCAATTACCGCCGGAGCGCAGCGGCACCGCCGCCGCCAGATACACCACTCTGGCAGGCCCTCGGCGCACTACATTTTTCCTGTTATTTTTTTTAATTGAATTTTTAGGGTGGGGGGAGCAGTACGCAAACTCCATCTCGGGAAACTTAAGCCCCGGGGCCTGTCTCAGGTCACGTACTGCACACCCTGTAGTAATATAATATTTACTGCCCCGAGGGTGCCGCGGATGGGCTGCCCCAGGCCGCTCCTCAGCGGTGGAGCGGCATGCTCCATGGGTAGCGGGGCGGGGGTGGGGGAGCCTGGGCCGGAGCCCTGGGCTGGGGCCTGCCTGGGAACCAGGCCTGAGTGGGCCTGAGGGCGGGGGCAGGCGGGTCTGGAGAGGGATAGAGAGAGCCGAGCCAACCAGGGTGATTTATGCGCCCAGCCTGGGTCGGGAGTCGGGAGGGGCTGCAGTACAGACCACCAAAGGGAGATTTTCATGGAGGCTACAGCCCAGCCAAGACTCCCCAAGAAACATTTAGGACCTGTGAGTGCCACTAACAAGCTGTCTCCGTGCTGTCTCGGCTCTTTCCCTCCTCAGGAAAGCCCAAGGCAGGGGGTACGGAAAGAAGGGGAGACCAGGAAGAGGAAGCTGATGGCGCTCCACCCAGCCCTAAGCAAAGCCAGGGGCCCCGCCAACGCCGGCTGACTTGGAAATTGCAGGTAGGCCCAGCACAGGGCTCAGCAGGCTGACAGTAGAGTGGGCTGGGCTGCTCCCAAGGTCCCTGCTTGCCTCTGCGGGGCCAGGTGGATACCTGTACCCTGGGCAGTGTCCAGCCTGAAAGATGAACTGGCCTCGGGGCATTCATTTCACTCCTTGTGAGCAACAGCTCTCCCCTGGGCCTGGGCTGGATGCTGCATCCAGAGATGAGACCTGGCCCTGCTCTCAGGGGGCCCACAGAAGAAAGATGCAAACAGATCCCTGCCTGAGCAGCCTCAGAGTCAGGAGCCCTTCCTGGAGGAAGCGGCTTTGAGCTGCACCTGGCAGGGCCAGCAGGAGTTAGTAAGGCCCAAAAGAGCGGGAAGGGCATCCTGGCTGATGGAGCAGCATGTGCACAAGTGCAAAGACACAGAGGCAAGGGGGAGCCTGTAGGGGTGGGGGACGCTGAGGGCCAGACAAACCAATGCAGAGCTTCAGAAGTACAGGGGCTCCATGAGGCAGGTGGTGGGGACAGAAAGGCCTGTCCACCAGGATGAGAGCAGGGGCTTTTCCTGGATGCAGTGGCAGCCACTACAGGGCTGACGTGGAGGCAGGCGTGACACAGCTTGAAGACGATGGGGATACTAAAGGAGGGATGGGAGAGGAAGGAAGGAGGAAGGACATGGGTGAGGAGAGCCACCAGGGCTGGGGCAGAGGAAAGAGGAGGCGAGCAGTCAGAGCTGGCTCAGGTTTCCAGCGTGGGTTCTGGGGAGCCAGGAAAAGAGTGCCGGGAGGTGATGAAACCTGTCTGCAACACGTGTAGCCCCAGACGCAGCACTGAGGTGCTGGTGGGACATCCACGTGGACATGTCCAGCACGTTGTGTTCATAGGTGTAGAGATCAGAGGAGAGGGCTGGGCTGGAGGAACAGAGTGGACACCACCGGCCCTGGGGAAGGGGGAGGCTCCCGGAAGATGAGCCGGGAAAAGGCCTGAGATGGAATGAGGAACACCGATGCTGGAGAAGTGGGCCAGGCTGGCTGGAGAAAGGGTGAGCTGCTGTGGTCAGCTGTGGGCCTGAGTTCGCTCAAGGCCCCCATGCCCAGCTGCTCTGCACGTCGGCTGTGATGGTGCTCAGCATCACACAGGATGCTCCCACACAGGAGAGGGGGTGGAGGAAGCCCTCTTGCTGAGGTGCGGGGCACTAGTGGCCTCAGGTGGAGCTGAGCGAACTGCTCCTGCTGCCTGGAATTCCTCTCCTAGACAGCCATTATGCATTCCCAAGAGGACGGGAACCCAGCTCTCCTCCCAAGCTCCTGAGCTGGAACAAGCATCCCTGCTGGGAGGCCCAGCCACTCGTCCAACCCCGGGAGAGTGACTCAAAGGGGCCAGAAGTGTTTTTAGGCAGATCCTCCAAGAGCAGAGCCCTGCAGAGGTCACTGAGGGCAGCCAAGGACTCAGGGCCCACGGGTCTCAGATGTCCCAGGCCCCTCAGACCTGCCAAGCTGCAAACAACACGGGGGTCATGTGCAGGGCCACAGGTAGAACCCAGAATCCTGGCCCACCCACCTCACCCAAAGTGGTGCCAACGTGGCACCATGAGTCATCCTGCAGGTGGGGCCTGGGGCCCTGGGGATGCCCTGGGGAACTCACCCAGTGGCTGCGGCCACCCCAGGCTGACCGTGCCCGTATGCGCCCCTCCAACCCCATTCTGTCCTCCCACCTCCAGACCACAGGCCAGCTTCCTCACAGATGCCTCAACACAGCCTGTCCCGAATGCCTCACCTCCCCCTCAACTGGCTCCTCCTCCTGCTGACCCTCTCAGAGCACGGCCCCCATGCCCACCTAGCCACCCTGGCCAGGACCAGGGGATCATTCTGAACCTTCCTGTGGCTGCCACATTCACCCCATCAAGTTCTGTCCATTACAGAGCAGCACTGCAAGGAGGTTCTGCCACTCACTAGGTGTGTGAATCTGGGCAAGTTAATCAGCCTTCCTCCCTGTGCCTCAGTTTCCTATCTGTAAAACAAGGGTCATTTACTTTTTTTTTTTTTTTGAGACAGAGTCTTGCTCTGTCACCCAGTCTGGAGTGTAGGGGCGTGATCTCAGCTCACTGCAACATCCACCTCCTGGGTTCAAGCAATTCTCCTGCCTCAGTCTCCCAAGTAGCTGGGATTACAGGCACCCGCCACCACACATGGCTAATTTTTGTATTTTTAGTAGAGATGGGGCCAGGCTGGTCTTGAACTCTTGACCTCAAGTGATCTGTCCACCTCAGTCTCCCAAAGTGCTGGGATTACAGCTGTGAGCCTCCACACCCAGCCTACTTTCTACTTCATAAGATTTCATGGTTGGTTAATAGCAGAGACCCTCAGGGCCACCCAATTGGGCAACAGCCTCTCCTGCCACCTCCCCCACCCAGGAGGCAGCAGGCATTTCAGGCTTCTGTGCTTTTGCCTTGGCAGTCCCCTCTCCAAAGGCTAACTCCTGCTCCTCCCTCAAAGTCCACCACAGGCATCCCCTTCTCCAGGAAGCTTCCCTGAATTCAGTTAGTGGGAATGAGATGCACCTGCTTGGAGCTCCTACAGTGCACACCTCTAACTTCCTAACAGACTTTACCTCCTCTGCCCATTTTTTGCATCCAACCATCCCTGGAGGGCTGAAGTTGTACCTTTGTCAGTATGCTCTGGGTGTCTGGCACTGAGCCTGCCAGGCTTCAGGAAGGTTGGGGGAAATGGGTGAATGGCCTGTCTGGAATTCCACCGCTGGGCCGGGAGCATTTCTCTGGGGGTAATATTTTGATAAAGATATACTTCCTAACTGAACCATAAAAGATAGAAGGGATGCTACATCAGTGGCCATGGTTATCAGTTCTCTGATGCGTTCAGCAGGGCTGTACGGCCATGCTGAGGGAGGGGTGATGAGGCGTATAGGGGGCATAGAATACATTTGTGTATATTCACACATTTGCATATATTAACCCCGTGGAGAGCAGAGGGGTGACTATTTAAGTCCATTTAACAGCTGAGAAAACTAAAGTCCAGAGAAGAGAAGCTTCCCAAAGTCACAAAGTCAGATAAAGAGACCAGGAGCTAAGTCTCCCGACATTTCTTCTTCTGAGCAATAATTATGCTACCACTTATTAAATCTTTCCCAAGGGCCGGGCACTTTGTTTAGAAGATATTATAAAGTAGTTATTCTTCATGCCAGGTTGAAGTTGAGAAAACCAAGGGTCAGAACCCACGGGTGGCCCCCCAAAACCACATGGCAGTGGAGGAGATGTGAGATGCACCCCTCTGCTGGGCCTCCACACCCCGGGCCTTCTTTTCCTGAAGTCGACAATCAGCCGTGTCAATAGAAGGCTAAACAGAAACCATGATCCCCGACATGGCCTTGAGGGAATGAGGGGCGCCGTCACCCCACCCCCCAGCCAGCTCCTCCTGGAGATTCCATCAGGGAAATAAGAGGTCAGGGATCAGAGACACAATGCCCCCCATTCAGGTGAGCCGGCCGCCGGGCCCGCAGCTGCCGCTGCTGCAGGGAGATTTATGACCTGCTCTCAATGTCACCTTTTCAACTCCTGCGCTGGCTCCACCACCTTTGGACTCAGCACGGGCTGGACTGCTGGCCAAGCGTGGCTGGGAGACGTGCCATTGCTCACCGCCACACACGAGCACTCCCAGCGAAACAGGCCCAGTTGAGCCAGGAGAGGAGGGCACCAGGGGCGCCAGGTCCCCCCTACCTGCAGCCTGCGATGAGCTCATCCATCATCTGAGCCACCAGTGAGTCCACGTCCTCCGTGGAGCACTGCGCCTTCAGGGCCAGGTGGACCTGCTCCAGGCCAGCTTCCTGTGGAAGGGGCAGGCAAGGGTCAGGTGTGTCACCACAGGGCAGAGGGTGCACGCTGGACCCAGCCCCTAGGCCCTGTCACTGCTACTGAACCAAAAAGGAGTGAACAGTTAGAGCAAAGAAGGCAGAGCCCAGGCCCAACAAACCAGGTTCTATCCTGACTCAAGAACCTTCCAAGGCTGCCCGTACCCAAATACATCCAAAGTCTCGTACCTGGAACTCCAGCCTCACATGTAGTCACAAGGAGCTCGGGGGCGGGGGCGGGGGTTCTGCAGACTTGGAAAGAACTTGATGGCTTCTGATTCCTCCCTGCCACCCTCAAAGCAGGCCTGGCTTCCCACAGGTGAGTGGCCCTCTCCGAGCCTGCTCTGGTTCCCCACCTGGAACCCTCTCTCCTTTCCAGATTCTACCACCCGATGAGGCTTAGACGAAGAGCACCCTCTTCCCAGGAGCAGTCCCGCCACCTCTAATCACAGGAACCTCCTTCCTCAAACTCCCGTGGCTGCTTATTCCCTGTGCTGCCTCCCAGGGAAACAGGCCCTTACCAAGCTTTTCTCCAGCCCTCTCCATGGGGCCTCAGCCCTGAGCTGAGAGGCCAAGGACTGTCCCTCAGCCCCCCACACGCCCCTCCCCACCCACCGGCCTTCCTGAACAAGGACGTGTACTCGGGATTTGGACTACCGGTCTCATAGAACTGGAAAGAACATGGTCCCTGCCCTCTTGGAGTCTGGAGTCTTGCTGTGAGCCAGTGATTGGCCCAGAAGGCAGAGTCTAGAGCTGTATGGCATCGACTCCACGTTCTCCCCATCTCAGCACTCGCTGGTCTCCTCTTTCCCCTAGAACTGCCAGTCTCTGGGAAGGTGGGGCCACCATGGCCTCCTTCCCTTCTCTGTCCACCTTTCCTTCAAGCCATGCTCACCTCCCCACCCACAGATATGCCCAGGCCTCTCCAGCCCCGCTTCCCTCCACCTGCTGATCCCAGCATGCTCCTGCAGTGGAGCCTGCACCTGTCTCCTGCATTTTCTCACCAGCTGTCCCCATCCACACCACAGAAACCCCTAGAGCCACTGCCAGGACCATCAGCTTCCCACTCAACCTCCTCACCTCCCTTGGCCTCTACACCTCTGCCCACCTGTGATTCTCCTCCATTCTGGCCAAGTGCCAGGACTGCAGCATCCAGCATCTGTAGGGGCCTCCCCAGATGTCCCCTCCTCACCCCCAAAACAGAACCTGACCTCATATGCTCTGCTCTTCTCCCCAGCTTCCCAATTCCCCAGCCACCTGAGTTCCTCCTTATAGCCCTTCCTCAGCCCCAAATCCAGTTGGCCACCAAGGCCTTGTAGCTCAAGTCCTGCAATTTCCGCCCCCGCCCAAGGCCATCTCCTTCCCAGGGCTTGGTCACCCTCCCTCAGGCTCCTGCAATGGTGGCCTAGCTGGGTTCCCACCCCCCATCTGCTTGCACTGGACACAGCCCCCTCGCTGGCCTATGATGCCTTCCTGACGCTCCTTGGCCACCCTCCCTGCTCTGAGCCCAACATCTCTCTGCCCCTGGAGTGTCACCTGTACCTAAGTTTAGAAAGCCCTGTATGAGAGACACAAGTGAGCCTATGCCCTCCTTTAATAAACTGACTCCCTGAAGACAGAGCCAGCTCCTTGTTCACCTCTGGCCTCTAGCTTCTGGCTAGAAGTTTCTAGCATAAGCCCTTGCGTGCATTAAGAGTCCGAAGGCCTGTAATGAGTAAGTGAGCGAGAGCAAGGCCGTGCCCTGCTGCGTGACATAGGTTTTCTTTCTGCGCCCTTGCCCTGGGTCCCACTGCACACTGGAGCTGCCTCAGGTTGCTCGCATCCCCTTTCTCCTCTTCCAAGCGTACAGGACAGGACCACAAGCCTGGTACTGCCAAGACACCAAGGACACCAACCACGAAGGTTAGTAGGCACAGCCATGTGTCAGTGTGTGCACCAGTGGATGGTGGTCTGAGACGCCCCGTGCAGCGGGGTAGCGGGTGCATGCACAGGCGTGTGCAGCTTTGGGCACGTTTTCACTCACCAGCCGGTCAGCAATCCCAAGCAGCTGGTTCTGAGTCTCGATTCTATGGCTGATGTCCTCCCAGTAGGATGACAGCACCACCACAGGTTTCACGTTGCCCCAGGGTAGGTAGTAGTAGTGGCACCCTGGAATGGAGAGACAGGCCTGAGCACTGTGCCAGGAGCAGAGGGCGGGTGGGATGGGGTGCTAAGAGTGCCAGCCTCCTGGGCACTCCAGGGCTAGGACTGGCAGAGCTGGGAAGGGGACCACACGTGGGAGAGAGACAGGCACCTGCTCACCCTTCCCCTCGAAGAACTCTCTTGGACACACGTGGAGTGACCCGTGTTGCCCAGTGTCCGAAAGAGGTGCCTGAGCTCTCTGTGTGAGTTGAGCAGACAGCTGCAGCTCTCATTAGGGCTCCAGGGCATGTCAAAACTGAGGAGTTGTTACAGCTGCCCTGGGAAACCCAAGGCCACACTCCCTAAAATGTCCAAACCAAGGCCGGCAGACTCCTTGAAATGAGCAGGATGGATCGGGGTCAATGCTGACCACAGCTGGTCCCAGGAGCTGCATCTGTGGGCACTAGTAGCAGGGCCCCTCGCCTGGAGGAGAGCAAGGGGACAGCTGGAACAGGTTGGCCAGGGCCAGGGTCTTTGAATAGCCTCCAGCAGCTTTCCGTGGGAGGCAGGATTTAAGGTGTGGCCCCCTGCTCTATGATCCTGTGATCGGGGTCCCAGCCAGGAGCACTGCCTCACCGTCAAAGACTGCACGGCTATACTGAGTGGTGGAGGCCAGCGGCAGGCAGGTCATGTCGAACTTGTTCCCATAGTTCCCGATGCTGACCTCAAACTGGATGGCGTCATCCACATCCTGCAGCATGGTGGCCGAGTAGAAGGCCGCAAACAGGGAGTACTTGCGCCTCCTAAGGTACTTCTGTGAGCAGAGAGTGGGCCAGAGGGTCACAGGAGAAGCAAAGAAAGGCACCCGGGCTAGGGAGGGGACATGTATCTGGCAGGCCCTGGCCATAGCCGGCACCCAATAGCTCCTGGCTGGACTGACGGGTGGCAAGTAGCCCAAGAAAGAAACAGCATCCAGATTTCATTGCTAACTGAACAAGCTCATTCCAGATCTGCGTGCGTCTGGCCATGTTTCCCTAATAAAAGCTGCTCCTCCAAGGTCAAGCTGCCCCTAATCCAAACCAGCAGCGATGGTACCACCACATCAGCTGAGTGGGGTCTCCCACTGGGCCCACAGGGGCAACCTGGAACTTCTCTGCCATTCAGAGGGGCTAAAGGCTCTAAGCCACCAGGCGCCTGCCCAGAGCTCCTGCCCCATGCCACTCAGGGTCTCCCCCTCAGCAGCCAGCTCTGCAGGACACACGGACTGCCACTGTCATGTGCCTGGGATGAAAGGGTCTCTTTGTCCCCTCCAGGCGCTGAGCATAGGGTGGGGACAGGGCAGGAACTCAATCCTATGATTGAGAGAAGAGGGGTCAGACAATTGGGTATTAGGTGAATGTAAACAGTAGCAACAGCTAGCACTTAGTAAGTGCTTACTGCATATGTGTATTAATTTCCTTAATTCTCACAACCATCTTATAAATATATTATTACAAGCTATATAATACAACTTTAAGTATAATATATCCCCACATTCCAGATAGGGAAACTGATGGAGCCTGTAAGTGCTGCAGCCAGAATTCAAACCAGAGCCATCTGACCACTGTGTCTAACAGCTTAAATCACCACACAGACTCTGCACAGCTGCCTCCTGGACACAAGGCCAAGCTCCACCATTTGTTGCTCTGATATATCTGAGCCTGTTTCCTCATCTGTAAAATGGGGATAATAATAATAACAGCAGCCACCTCATGGTGTTGGGAGGAGTCAATAACAGCAGAGGTGTCAGCAGCACAGTGCCTGATACATGTTCAGTGCTTATTTGACTTAATAGTTATCCTTACGTTATTATTATAAAATCACATCTCATTTTGCATCAAACTCTAGACTTTTGAAATATTTTCATTTATCTTCTCTGAGCCTCCAGGGAGGCAGGGGCAAGTGTTAATTTATTCCCACTTTACAGCTGAGACCTGAGGCCCAGAGAGGTAAAGGCACTATGCATGTAGGCAGAGCTGAGTCCTCCCTCTGCCATGATACCTCAAGGCCAGTCCAGTGTGGCCATCCCTTCCCCGCCCCGACACCCAGCTCCCACCAAGAGCCATGCCCCTCACCTCCACCCGGAGGATGTCATCCGCAGGAAGGTCCTCCACCTTCTGCTCACTGTGCTCCACCAGCTTGGTCTCCAGGGAAAGCAGAAGCCGGCCACGATAAGCCACACCTTCCCCCTGCCAGGGAGGTCAGGTCACCAGGAGCAGGGGAGACAGAGGGAAGGAGGGGAAGGAAAGGGGCACCCTCTGGCCCTGAGGTAGCTCATCTCCCAGGCACCCAGGAGGTCCCTGAGCCAACCTCATCTCTCTGCAGATGAGGAAGCATGGCCCAGAGAGTTCAGGGGATATGACAAGCCACCCAGATGGACAGTGCCAGATGCCAACCCAGAACAAAAGATGAAGAAAGAGAGACAGGGTCTGGGTCCTTCAGGGCGGGGAACATGGAAGGATCAGACTGGCACTCGGGAAAGGCAGCGTCAAGGGGCAGAAGGAGAATTCACTGAGTGGGTGGCTGCCTGGTTGTGGGCCCCCAGGTAGGGTTGGAAGACTCTGCATACAGGCCTGGGCTCCTGAGGGACCTGGGCATCTGGCATCCTGCCCTTGCTAAGCAGGGCTCCAGCCGGCTCACCTTGCCTGTGTTGAGCTCTGCGTAGGGGTCCAGGAAGCCCGTGAACTCTCTGGGACTGCCATAGAGGTTGATGTAGCAGGGCCCAAAAGTGGGGAGGAAGCCCAGGTGGTCATCCACTGGGAGACACAAGTGGCAATCAGAGGGATCGGCCCACTGGGGCTTCCCAATGCTCAACCCAGCCACCTTCCAGCCTGAGCCCACCCCTGACCCTCAGTTCCCCCCACATGCACCCGATGCAGCTCCTGTCAGTGTATAAAGACGAACGCCACGAGCGATAGCTCTCGTGCCCTCCCCTAAGTCTCTTTACTCCTCACCATCATGCTGAGATGCAATCATATTTTTATTATTTTTATTAGTCTCATTTTATAGATGAGGAAACTGAGGCTCAGAGATGCAAAGAAACACATGACTACAAGGTGGCAGGGCCCAGAATGGTGTCACCTCAAAGCCCATGCACTCAGCCAGCACACAAAGTTGGGGTTCAAGGCCCTCTACTGCTTGTGCCCCTCCCCAGCCCCACCCCATCAAGTCCTGCATCTGCTTTCCATCCTACGCTTCTATAGGCACTGTAGGCCCTGCAGCCAGTGGGGAGGACCTAAGAGGTCCCAGAGCCCGGTAACAAGAGAAACCATCTCCCAGGAGGCCAGGGATGGAGCCCAGCTAGACGTTCCTCCTCCCTAGGGCAGCCGCCAGGCACATACCCCCTGCCCTAATGGCCTTGCCTCATCCCAGAATCTCCTCCACACACACACACACATTGTGCAAAGAACATTTTTTAACAGAGCAGGTCAGAGCAGAGAGAATTACACTCCTGAAGAGGGGAAATCTCTCCACATCCTTTCCATCCTTTTTTGGAGGCTCTCTTTTGCTAACATCATTTTCCAGCTCACAACTGAGTTTCCCAATGGGACTTTACTGGCCATACCCTGAAAACCCTAAAATGCCACACTGTCCCTTTCAGAGGAACGGGGAAGAGGTTGTTTCCAAAATACCAAAAGTGGAAAGCAGGGCCAGAGACGGGAACCCTCTGGAACGACCCAATCAGTCCACACAAGAATGAGCCAAAGTAGGCACAAAACAAATGGCCTCAGCAGAGAAGTGTTTGAGCCAGACCTAAGGTCATGCACTGCGAGTCCAGCCCCTGCCGAGACCCTAGGGATGAGGGAGGAGCCAGGACAGGGAGGGACCAGAAGGCTGGAGCCTCACCTCCCTTCTCAGCCAGGGGCCACCCCACCTCCTTCAACACCTTCCCTCTCCTAGACCCCAGCACAGACAGGGCACTGGCCTTCAGGAGAGGTGAGAGGCCCAGGTAGATGGGCTAACAGGAGCATTACTAATTATTTGCGTTAATCATCTCAATTATGATTTACCTTGAGGATTTCAACTCCAAGAGTTTTTAACTCCTCTTGGCCTCCTCCTGGCCCCTGAAACACCTCACACTCCCCTTGCCCCACTCCAGACCCCCATGCCTGCCCCTACCCCTCACTACCAGACAGAGGGGTCTAACTGGAGCATCGGCCCAAGCCTATCCCATTTAGGAAGGGTTGGGGAAAATGGGAGGAAATTGGCCCTTAAGGCATTCCAGACGATTTACATGCTCTACAGAGGCTGAGAGGCGACAGCAAATGTAAGTCCAGAGACTTACATTTGTGGGGGAACCTCAGTCCCACCTCAGGCAAATCAAAAACCCCCATGCCTCCAGCACCCTCGCCCCTCTAACCGAAACCCAAGGCCCCGCTCCCCTGGTTGTCCCCAAGGTGACAGCAACGTACGGTCTGAGACTTTCGAAGGCTTGACGGCACCTGCAGTCTCCTCTGAAGCGTAAAGAAATGGAAAAGGGGTTAGGGTGGGCATGGCTGGGAGAAGTACTGGTTACATTAACAGGCTGTGGATGGAGAGCTGGCAGACAGACAGATGGAAAGACAGCTCCAGGCTGTGAAACAGATGCAGCCCGAGGCCCCACCCTCTGCCCAGCTGTAAATTTATCATAAACTAAATCATCACGGCCCCTCCAGACGCAGCCCCCAACACCCCATGAGCCCTAGGGGTCCCACTTGGCCCGCCCATCACTCTGTGTGTTCCGTTTGCCGGACCCGAAATTTGATTCAATACACTCAAGGAATAATTCAGAAAAGAAAATGTGCTTTTCCATATGATAGCCAGATAAGTGAGGGGAACAAAGTACAGACACAACGGAAGGGTGGGGAGACACAAAAGGGCCAGAGCTAGGAAGCGAGGCACTCCCCACACTCCAAGCCCACAGGCAGGTCGCACTTGGAACCAGGCGCGCTGAGCAGGGACATTTCAAGGCACAACATCTCCACCTAGTGGCCGTGTCCAGAATCACCCCTGAAGGCTCCACGTTGCATGTTCACAACAGCAGGCACTGGCATCTAGCTTCTGACACAGGCCGCTTCCAGGGAAGCACAGAGCCAGACGCTGTCCACAAGCTGAACACGCTACACACTTGGGTGTGCCCCTAAATGTTGGTAAGGAATGTCTAGAAATAAGAAAAGCAAGGAAGGAAATGCTCTGGCACACATATGGACTCTGAATCTGTCCCTCACTGCTAGGCAGGTACACAATGCCGCCAAGGAAGCGGACACCCCTCGGTCTTCCTCCACTGTCCTCTCTGATTTCTGCCTCTTCCCAAATCTGACCTTCCCATTCTCCTTCTGCAACAGCAAAGTGTGACGCAGTCTGAGGTCACGTGCCCACTCGGGACGTGGTTGGTGAACTTGCTGATTACTTCCCTTCCTCGTTTACCTTTACCTGTTGCTGTCCTCCAGGAAACACTTCTTTTCCCCTAGCCCTGTGACTGCAGTCAGAAGTCAAGGGTTGAGGAAAACTTTGTGAAGGAAGAGTGCACAAAGACACAGAGAGAAAGAGTGGAGAAGAGAGAAGGCAGCATGGCCGTCCGGAGTGAGGACAGGGCAGAGGCAGCAAGGAGGGCCCGGCCCAGCCCCTCGGCCCTCCTCAGCCAGGCCTCAGCTACAAACATCAGCCGGCAGACACCAGGGCTGCATAAATCATAATTCATGGCCACCTTCATCTCCAAAGCAAGAGGTTTCCTTCCATGGGCAAGCCAGGGCTTTGCTCGTGGGGAGATTTCTGCAACAGCGAGAGGGCCAACACAGGCACAGCTGCAGGCCCAAGGAGAGCAGTGGCCAGGGACCACCGGAAGGAAACAGATCCCATTTTAAGCTCCTTCTAAATGATTACTAACAGGCCTGGCCTGTTATCTTGGGCTAATGAGGCCAAGGTCACAGTTCCAACCCCCATGTGCTTCTTACAGAGGCAAAGTTGGCTTCCCACCCAGACTGATTTTGAATTCTGGCTGCAGACTGGTGCCCAGCCCAGATGCAGAAGTCCCCCTAATCCCATCGGCCATCTGACCAACACATGCCTCTGGTGGCTCAGAGGACCAAGTGGGTAACTGCAGAGCAGCCTGCCTCCCAACCACACCTTTTCATTAATTCACCCTTTCTTTCTTTTCTTTTCTTTTCTTTCTTTCTTTCTTTATTTCTTTCTTTCTTTCTTTCTTTCTTTTTATTTATTTAGACAGTGTCTCACTCTTGTCACCCAGGCTGGAGCACAGCGGCATGATCTCGGCTCACTGCAACCTCCACCTCCCAGGTTCAAGTGATTCTCCTGCCTCAGCCTCCCAAGTAGCTAGGATTACAGGCGCCCACCACCATGCTGGGCTATTTTTTGTATTTTTAGTAGAGATGGGGTTTCACTATGTTGACCAGGCTGGTCTCGAACTCCTGAACTCAGGTGATCCACCCACCTCGGCCTCCCAAAGTGCTGGGATTACAGGTGTGAGTCACTGCACCCAACCTAATTCACACATTCTTTCATTCATTTGTTCATTCAGCAAACCTAACCAGGTGCAGGAGGAGGCACTGGGAATATGCAATAAGACACGGCCCTGCTGATGTCTTAGGTCAATGACTCCTGACTTGGGGGCGGATCACAGTCTCTGGGTGTGAAGGCCCATCCTGGGCTCTCGCCCCTGTGTCTGCAGACAGTTCAAGGGCACAGTGACTAGTGAAGCCACCCAAGACAAGGCCTCTATTTCGTCCACATCACCCTTCTGCCAAAACACAAGTATTTTATTGTGTTTTCCCTCAGTCCAGAGAGCTGGGGCTATGGAAGTCCAAAACACAGATGAATGCTCCCAGTTCTGTGACCCGAGCAACAAAGCTCAGCTGCCTCACCTGGGGGAAGCTGAAGGAGATAGAGAGCAGGACCTCCTAGCCCAGTGAGCCACAAGTCCCAGCCCTGCACACAGTCCCTGGGAGGTGCATGAAGAAGCTGAGGCCATCACCTGCAGTCTGCCCCGCCAGCTCCCTCTGCCTCTCGGCACATCCCCAAGCCCACGGCGGCTGGCTGCCTGACTCTCACTTGCGCCCGGCAAGAGGAGAAACTGAAAACTGCTGGGAAATCAGCATCATCTACATTCCAGAGACGAAAGGAGACTAACTTTGGATTTCTTAGCTATGGAAAACACTAAGATACAAGTGCTATTTATGGAGCATGAGTTTCCTATGTATAAAGTTATGAAAGAATCTGTGTACATTTCACAGAGCTCATGTGCCTATTACCTTTCAAAAGACCTGCAGCTTCTAAGGAAAGCACTCTTTTTTAAAAAACAAAATTCTTACTTAATACTTCAGAGCACAGGGTCCAAGGAACACTCTAGTGTGCCCAGGCAAACTTGTGGGCAGAGGTGTTTAAGAGGTTAGTGTTAGGTCTTGTCCTCACTGGAAACAAAAACAAAAACAGAAAAACAAAAACTCCTAGTTGAACCAAATCATCTGGTGAACCCTGAGGCAGGGAAATACAGAGAAAGAACTTGTTTTTACAGTTCAGTTTCATTTGGGCTTTGAGAGCAGTGAGGAAATACAAGTGTTGTCTATCGCCCCAATGGGCTAGAAGCCCACAACGTGGAGAAACAACATAAAAAAGGGCTGGAAGGAAAGTTGGAGCGACGCGTTCCGAGGGGGCTGCGCGCAGGTCAGGGAGGCTTGGCAGGAGCAAGGCAAGGGCCCGACCTCAAGGCCGGAGAGAGGCCCTGGCCCCAGAAAGGGACCCACCTCTGCAGGAACGGGTCGGCAGGGTCCGAGAGTCATCAAAGACAGCTCCAGTTGGATGCACAAGTTTAACTCTTTTACTGCCACTTAGATCTAGCTATTTAACTGCATGTTCAAAACCGGTTAGCTGGTTGCAAGAAGATTCTCATTTATTTCCAGAACCATCGGTGATGGAAGGTGGGCCCAACTTTGAATGCCTTCCGAAGCACGCTGGGTTGCCTGTGACCTGAGCGCCATCTAGTGACCACATAAACATCTTTCTTGCCTTCCCACCAACACACTTGTGGACACAGAGAAAAGTGAGGGCTCACACAGCATAGAAATGAAGGTAGGTCGGAGGATGCGAACTCTCCGTCAGGGGGCTGGCGACAAGCACGGCTGCAGCCTCGTGAAACACGACTGTCGGAAAACAGTCAGAAATGCCCCACTGTGCCTCCACCAGTGTCTGCCCCTGGAATCAGAGACAGAGACAGTGCCAGCCAGAAAACTGAAGAAGAGGTTCCTTCCATACCAAGAGTGCTGACCTGTGAGGTGACCCTCTGACTGCATTACCACCCCCAGATCTCTCTACCTGTTCGGGAAGACAGCCCTTCTCAGAAACTATCTGAACAGCAATAAGTGAAGGGGCGGGGCCACATCCCAGAACACATTGTTCCCCCAGCGAGGAAGGGAGGGGCTGGGGCAGGAAGAGCAGGTTTGCAGTGCCTGCAGGAAGGTCGTTTCTGGGACTAGTCCAAAGTCCCAACAAGGAAATCAGAAGGCAGAGAGCAGCTAGATGTGGAAGCTCAGGGAGGGTGCCTGGGAGTTTACTGTACAATTCTCTACTTTTGCGTGTACTTGAAATTTTCTATAATTAAAAGTTGCCCTTTAAATGTTTCAGAGAACTCAGCAAAACCAGTCTTTTCATTTCTTTCTTGCCACATGGCCTTGGCATATGTCATCACCTCTGCCTGGAACTCTTTCCTACCTGCTCCTCACATGCCGGTGGCTTCCCCTCTGGCAGCCTAAGACACCTCCTCCTAGAAGCCTTCCTTGACTCCATCAGGCAGAAACAGCTCTCCTCTACTCTCTTATTCTCTTTCACCATGCATGTCCTTTTCTTCGAGGGCACTTAACACAACTTATACCCATATATTTATTTGTCTGCTTGTTTGTGGCCTGTCAGAACTCTAAGTTCCCCAACGGTGTGACCAAGAATATTTTGTTGAACCCTCTATGCCCAGCCCCTGACACAAGGCATATGTTCAATAAACATCTCCTAAAAGAATGAAGTGAATGGAAAACAATATCAGGTATATGCCTCTGATAGCTGCCTACATTTACAGAAGGACATGAGGACATCAAGCAGCTAGAAGTCTAAGTTAACAATGTCTTGCTTAAAAACGATGTAACATTTGGAAGGCCAAGGCGGGTGGATCACCTCAGGTCAGAAACTCCTCAGGTCAGGAGTTTGAGACCAGCCTGGCCAACATGGTGAAACCCTGTCTCTACTAAAAATACAAAATATTAGCCGGGTACGGTGGCAGGCACCTGTAATCGTGGCTCCTTGGGAGGCTGAGGCAGGAGAATCGCTTGAACCTGGGAGGCAGAAGTTGCACTGAGCCAAGATCACACCACCACTGCACTCCAGGCTGGGCGAAAAGAGCAAAACTCTTTCTCAAAAAAAAAAAAAGGAACATTTTAAAAAATGGTATATCCAGTCTCCTCTCCTAGAGGTCTCCTAGAGATCTAGAATCTGGAGATGATCTCCAACTTCAAGAGCACTGGGTAGAGTCGGCCAGAAACTGGGCATGTTAACCTGTCCTCCAGCTAAAGATCTCAGCAGGTGGATGAACAGAGAAAGACCCACACACCCTATCTGTGGGAGATACCAACACTGAACAGATCTTGCGGGAGAGTGAATAAAGCAGGGAGAGGGCAGAGAGCCAACCAGGATATGGAAACTGCATCCGTAAGATTCAGGAAAGCATTCACCTGCATATTGCAGAAAATGATTGGGAATCCTCAGTAGAGTACAAGAAGATGTAGTTTTTGTGGAACAAAGCAGAACTGCCGGCAGAGAACAGACAAGGAGCAAAGAAGTAAAGGAAAATATAAAAGGGGTGACAGGGGAAAAAGAAAGCTTGACAAGAACCTACAAATGCAATAGCCCATTTTAAACCATGTACGAAGCAGTAAAAGGCAGAATTGGTACAGAAAAAAAAATCAGATTAGCAACATAGAAAGCCCATCTTAATGATAAAAACAGCAAATGTTACTTTAGGGTTATTGTGTACCAGACTTTATAAGAACCTTACCTTTATAATCTCATGATTTTTACAACCGCCTCGTGAGGGTTGGGACTTGCAAGAGCCCCATTTTACGGAGACTGGAGCAACTCACTCAGTTACAAAGAAGCAGAGCCAAGAGCATTTGAACCCAAGTTGGCCAGCTGGAGAGCTGGAGCTCTCCCCACTCCCCCACTCTGCCTTCAGCTGTCCATGGCATAATGTCGGAATTTTTAAAAAACAATCCTCCACCCAGATTTAAGAATTCATCATGTCTCAGACAAAATTCAATGGAAAGTGTACTTTACCAAGAAAGATTAAAATAATTTTCTAAACTATCAGAAAAAAGATAAATTCCTATGAGCAGCATCTAGTCAGGAAAAAAATAGACTAACTATGAAAGAATCAAATTGAACTGCTCTCAGAAAACACACAAAAATAAATTCAAAATAGATCAAATGTTTAAATGTTAAAAAAAATAATAGAATTAAATACAACCTTAGGGTCTGCTGAACCTTAGGGTTTGAGCATGACACAGAAGGCAGAAACCATACTTTCATTATTTAAATGGGAAATTTTTAAAATAAAGACAAGAAGCTAGAAAGTTAAAGAAGGAAACACTAAAATCAGTCTAAAGAGAGTTAAAGAGTGCAAAGATTAAAAGTCCAATAAAGTTTTAAAATAAACTTCTAACCAGCTAATCAAGAAAAAAAAAAACTCAAATATGTAACATTAGAAATAAGAAAAAGGAAAACACCACAGGTAGAGAGAATTATTCAATTTATAAAAATTTGCTCTGTGCAACACTATGCAAACAAATTAGACCTCAATGTAATGGATGCTTTTCTAGGAAAATATAAATTATCAAAATTGACCAGAGTAAAAGCAGCAAACTAAAAATAACAATCATCACAGGAGAAATTGAAAAGCTTTTAAAGAGCTATTACTATACCCACTCAAAAAGGGCACCCAGCCCATATGGTTTTATGGGTGAATTATTTCAAACCCTCAAAAGACTGTATTCTTATGTTATATAAACTATTCCAGATGTTAGAGAAGACTTTAAATCTTTACAATTAATTTTACAAAGCCAGCATAACCCAGATATCAAAACCAAAGAAATAATAAGCAGACATACCAGTTGAAGATAACAGAGAAACAGGCCCAAGAACACATTTAGGAATTTAGTAGGTGATAAAGGCAGCATTTTGAAATATAGGGAAAAGATTACTCAAAATACAGTGTTTGTATCACCAAAGAACAATTTTGAAAAAAGTAATGCTAGATCCCCGCCTTATTCCCTAAGGAAAAGACTAACAGATTTGGCTACATAAAAATTTCAAGTTTCTATAGGTCAAAAACTATTAATTGGTAAAATAAAGCCAACAAGAGTTATTTACTACATATATGACAGAGGAAAAGTTAATATCCATATATATACAGAACTCTTACAAAACTATGAGAAAAAGATAAACATTTCTTCATATAGGCCAAGAACATAAATAGGACATTTATAATACAATGAATATAAATTATACAAACATGTTATATATAAATATAAAATAATTATTTAAATATATTCAAATTGAAATCATCAACTTCTCCAGCTATCAATAAAATGAAAATTAAGGCAACAGTGAAATACCATTTTCACCTATCAAATTAACAAAGTTCTTTTTTTAATATTATTTTACCCTGTGTTGGGGAGGGCATAGCAAAATAAGCCTAGGGACATGATAAGCGTATAAAATAGTCCAGTCTTTCTGAAGGGCAATTTTGATAAATATCAAAAGCCTTAAAAATGTTGAAATCCTAGGCCAGGTGCAGTGGCTCATGCCTGTAATCCCAGCACTTTGGGAGGCCGAGGTGGGTGGATCACAAAGCCAGGAGTTCGAGACCAGCCTGGCCAACGTGGTAAAACCCTGTCTCTACTAAAAATACAAAGATTAGCTGGGCGTGGTGGTGTGCACCTGTAGTCCCAGCTACTCGGGTGGCTGAGGCAGGAGACTTGCTCGAATCGGGGAGGTGGAGGTTGCAGTGAGCCGAGTTTGGGCCACTGCACTCCAGCCTGGCGACAGAGTGAGACTCCATCTCAAAAAAAAAAAAGGAAAGTTGAAATCTTTTCCAATTTTAGCTATTTATCCAAAAGGAAACTCATGAATTATATAAAGATTCAGCTACAGAAATATTCATTGCCAATTTAGTTGCTTATAATGTGGAAAATTTTGAAAACACCTACATGTTCATCATCAACTAGTTAACATGGATCATGATACATTCACATAATGGAATATGTGTATTCATTTAAAATTGTATTATAGAAGAACATTTAATAACAGGAAAAGATATCTATGTTGTATTGTCAAGTATCAAAAAGCAATTTTCAAAACAATTTGTTCTAATGTATATATATACATATATCTATATATTAAATACACACATCTTACATGCATGTACAGATATATACACACATACCGAAAGGTCTCGGAGTGCTAATAGTTCTGGCTGGAGGGGTGGGCTTATGGGTCATTTCAGGTAAATTTTATATTCTTTCAGATTATTTCTTTATTTAAAATTTTACAAAATGATGATGAGTTACTTCTTTAATAGACCAATAAGATCTATTTCAGTAGCTTTTGAAACCGCTAGAGCACAGTCAGCCAATGCAGGACCTGACGGATGGCATGGCCACAGCCAGCCAATGTTCTCTGCAGGAGTGAATTATCCTCTTTGTGCCCTTCAGTGGCATATCCTACAATCCAAGTGTGGAGAACCCTAAATGTCTGCAAGACCTCTCTTTCATTGCCAGAGCCCTTCTCAGTGGAAAATGGGCAACAAAGGCCTTATCATCTCCCCTTTTCTGCAAACTCTCAAAGGTAGAGGTATAAGCTGGATAGAGGGGGGACAGGGGAGAGCACAGGGGGTCAAAGGGCAGAACGAAGAGGAAACATACCTTCTATGTCTCCTCCAGGGGCAGAGATTTTCGACATACTCAGGTCGGCGGTAGCCACGATGTCATTGTGAGTGAGGCGATCCCTAGAGCAAGGGGGCAGAGAGGACCTGAACACCGGGAAGGAACTGCAGGCCACAGCCCACCCAGGAAGTATGCGGCCTCAGTGACACATCACGGGGGGGCAGGGGGTGGGCAGAGAGCGCTCCTGGTCTTCACTTTGGTAGGTTACTGAGGCCTGGTAATCCCAGAGATGAAGAAACTGCACAGAAGACATGCCCAAGACTCTCTGAGAGGGAACTAGTTCATCTCGCCAACCACCAGCATCCCGTCAGGCAACCAAGCCCCCGCTGCCAGCTTGGATCTCTGCAGACACATCTGCAGGCTGACAGGGAGGAGGGCGGAGGCAAGGAGGCAGGGCCAGAGACTGGGGAGACTGTTCAGGGAGCCAGATTCCCAGACCCAGGGAGAACTGAGAGGCTCCAGGAGCTAAAGAAATGTTCAGATCAAGGAGAAAACTAGGTGACCAGGAAGAAACTATCTCTAAGGCCACAGTCTTGAAGTAGCCAGTGGTAATACACGATTCCTTTTTGTATCTGACTTTGTACGTAATGGAGCACTTTTAGCCTTTATCACACCGGAGGCTCACACAGCCTTGAGAAACAAGCACTTTCATTATTATCTCTGTTGCACCAATGAGGAAACTGAGGCTCAAAGCCATGTAGGTATTTGCCCAAGGTCACTGGGAGGGAGGGGAAGACCGGAATGGAAGTCCTGGCGTCCTGATTCCTGGACCACTGCTCCTGCAAGGCACAGGGCCTGCTTCCAGGGGCACAACTCTCGGCTCCCCAACCAGTGTAGGGGACTGTGGCCAGGAGCTCAAGGAGGCTAACCGATTGATTCACCTATTAGCCAACCACGTCCTGTGCAGACCCTCCCTCTGAACCCCACTCCTGCCTCCTTTGATGATAATAAACAGTAATTGAGCTAACATTTATTGAGCACCTACTAAGAGCTAAGCACTGCACTAAAACCATCAAGTGACTTAACTCACATCAGCACGACCAGGTAGGTACAATTAGCCCCAAATTCAGATGAGAAAGCCAACGTTGAGAAGGTTAAATAATTTGCCAAGATGGCAAAGCTGGGATTTGAGGCCAGAGATGCTGACGTGGAGACCAGAGCTTTGATTGCAGCCACCTGCTGCTTCCCGGGTAGGCTAGACCTGGGGTCAAAACCACTAGGTCAAGAACCCCCACAACAAAAAATAATCCAGTCCCAAATGCCAATGATGCAGAGGCTGAGAAACGTTGGGCTGGGCAGGACCCATCTCCTTCAGGAAGTTTCTCCTGGGTATTTTCCCCTTCTTCTTGGTGCCTCTTTGACACCCTCTCCCTGTTGTGAGTGCCTTAGCCATGGGCAGCTTCAAATGACACATCCCAGCCCCATTGTGAAAGCACACCCTGGCATGGTGCTTCGATTTTTCTTTGAAATCCTGACCCTATGAGGTACCCTAATCTCTGCCCAATTTCTGTGCTCCTTCCTTCCTCTCTCTTTGTATTTCCCAGGGAGGTGATTAAGCTTTGATTTTTAAAGTTTTCCATCACTGGTGCTACATTAGGAAGAATGACTTGTCAGCACAGACAGATCTTTACCATTTTTCCAGGTGAATGATGTTAATAAGAACTGAAAAGCTGGGTGTGGTGGCTCATGCCTGTAATCCCAGCACATTGGGAGGTCAAGGCAGGTGGATCACCTGAGGTCAGGAGTTCAAGACCAGCCTGGCCAACATGCTGAAGCCCCGTTTCTCCTAAAAATACAAAAATTAGCCAGGGGTGGTGGTGCGTGCCTGTAATCCCTGCTACTCAGGAGGCTGAGGCAGGAGAATCACTTGAACCTGAGAGGCAGAGGTTGCAGTGAGCCAAGATTGCACCATTGGACTCCAGCCTGGGCGACAAGAGCGAAATTCCATCCCAAAAAGAAAAAAAGAACTGGAAAGTAAAAATGTGCTGGAACATTTTACAATGAGATTCTCAGCACCAGATGACTGACAGCCGATGGCATTTGTACACTGTCTTCATGACCAAACCCTAGACAAGACCAGCACTTGAGAAGGAATTGGATGTCTGACCTCCGGCCTTCTCTGAATTGGGAGACGAGGGAAGGAGAGTGGGAGGAGAGAGGTTTTGCTTTATGGAGGTAGGGGGTGGTTTGGGTTCTTTTTTTGTTTTGTGTTGTTTGGTTTTTTAATGAAAAAGGAATTTCTGAAGAATTAAATGGAAGATTAAGTTACAGAGAAACGGCCATATGGACTATATCCTATTTCCAGGATTCAGGTAATAACAAGAGCTTATCTGCGTTTTCTGGGAAGAAAGCACTCTTCTGGATAGCAACTTGAAGCAGCAGAATGCTTTCTGGCCAAGAGTTGGGTTTTGGGGCTTGGGGTTGCTTTTGGAAAATACAGCAAGTCTGAAAATAGACTCACAATAAAAATGCCACTTCAACCCAAACCAGAGATGCAACCACCAGATTCTGTAATGTGTTTGGATTGTACAGTACGCTGATGCCTTTGACACAGCTCACCCGGACTCGGGCCAGACACATCCACAACACAGGAGACAACCGCACCCACACACATCCACATGTGCAAACACGCAGGGACACGCACAGCCCATTGCCCGCAGTCAGAGCGGCACACATGGAGAGCTGAGATGAAGAGATCATTCTGGGATGTAAAGCACATCTTTCCTCCAAACCGCTTCCCCACGGCACATACCCGTGGTCACTGCCCTCGCGGCCTCTCCCTCACAGGCCCTCCCGGCGGCTCTCTTTCCTCTCCTCTAATTCTCACAAGCTGTTTTCTTTAGGCCTGGGGAACTGGCACACAGCTTAATGGCTCTGTGGCCTGGGGGTTTTTCCCTAGTCTCTCATTATCCTCCTGGTTGGGGGTGTCACGGGCATGAGACCAAAGGAGAACACGCTGGGGAACCACACAGCCAAGACTTCTTGGGGGCAAAGAAAGGACAACTCTCTCTTTTTGGGAAGCCCAATGCCCCGAGATCACACGTGTGGACCCCAAGTGTTCCCCTCAAGTGTAAGAGAAAACTCCTGTCAACTAGCAGAAGGTGGCATGGCCTAGTGGTTAGGAACCCAGGCTTTGGAAACAGCAGGCTTGGGTTCAAGCCTGGCCTCAGCTACTTTCCAGCTAGCTGTCAGCTCAGGCAGGTCACTCAATCTTTCCCAACCTGCCTTCTCATCTGCGAACTGATGTCGGTGAGCTGATGGTCAGATGAGATGACTCGTGTCGAGTGCTTGCTGGAAACAGGGTTGGTCTTTAGTAGGTGCTCAACAAGTATTAGATGCTGTGATCTTTCTAAGATGCCTGCGAGCTGCTGCCCTCACCTGCTGCACAGCTGCCGTGGCGTCCCCTGCCCAGGCAATCTGGGCCACTCCTCCAGCTGGGGGACCCTACCTTTTCATCCCACCAACCCAGGGCTGCACTGCAGCCCATCCTCCCTGAAGCTCTGCTCTTTTCAGCCCCTGGCCTTGGTTTGTGAGCCTCTCCTCACTGGAACGTCCTAATCATGAGCTTAGCAAAACCCCACCCCTCCTGCCAGGCCATCACCTGTCCCACCTCCTCCAGGAAGTCTTCCCAGCTCCTCCTGCCCTCAGAGATTATTCCTCACAGCCGATCCCAGCTGGCCCCTCCTTATCTGCCTCCCTGCCAACAAGCAGGTGTGAGTAAGCTTCCCAGGAAGTGCCCACACCCTCTCCATCCCTGGCTACCCCAAGGGGACATTACCTCACCTGAAACTTCTCCCTCACACTCTCACTACCAGTCACTGAGCCGAATGAAACTGAGGGACCCAGCGCCCCCCAGGACAGCCCGCCCTAAAGACCCCAAGACTCAGGACTCACCAGTCTATGACACGAATCCTCATTTTTTCACACATGGAGGGAAACTGAGGAAGGAATAGAGGCGTGTTAGGAGAAGAGTCCTTTTGAAGATAGAACAGCCCCTCCCCACCCGAGCTGAAGTCTGGGATACTGGCAGGATGCTGGGGAGGCAGGAGCCCTGGACCTCCCGAAGCCCAGAGCCCCAGGGGCCTCCTTGGGTGTGCTGGGGTGGGAGGCTCACCATGGCAGGCAGTGTGATGTTCTGGTTCCACTGAGGGTTGGCCGTCTTCTCCAAGATCTTGCTGCAGAGCTAGAAGACACAGGGAAGGGACAATGGATCGAGCTCCATGGGGACTCTGGGCTCCCCCAGGGCCACCATGCCAGCCATTGGCCATTCTCTGCCACACTGGCTGCCCTCAGGGCTGGGTGTAAGACCCTGGGGTTGGGGCCTAGTACAGGGGGCTCAGACACAGGGAATCTTTGCAGAGAAAAAGCTCAATGGAAGGTCAGAGCCAGAGCTGGGGAGTGGGTAAGGGTAGGGTGGGTTGTCTGAATGCCACAGCCCTTCTACCCTTAACTCACACCTCTGGCTGAAAATCCCCCTCCATACCTCCCATTATGGCCAAGACCCTAAATGTGGGGGCCCTGAGTCCAGTCCAGATAGGCTTTCCCAGAGGCCCTTATGGCCCAGAAGGCTCTTTTGCCCATTACCCCATATCATCCACCATGTAGGAAGACTGTGACCTCTAGGAGATCAGAGACGGGGGAGGGGAGCCACGCACCGAGGTCGGAGAGTGAAAGAAAATTCAGGGAAGATGCAAACCCTGTAAGCCACAGTCTGCCTCCAAGCAGCCCTGCCCTAAAGACCAGGCTTTTCGCAAACAAGAAACCTCACAGGAGTGGAAACCAGATCAAACCAGCAGCTCACAGGCCAGCCCTGGCTTTGGAGTCCATAAGGAACACCAGGCCCCTCAGCCAGCCCCAGCGCATCCTGTACCCACACACGGGGGCAGCAGGTAAAGATTCAGTTTCAGATACACAGATCCTGGTAGATTTCCATGTTCTACACATGAAAATAATAAGCAGCCTTTTCAGAGCATTTACTGTGATAAGCCCTGCCTTGTGCTAAGCATTTTATGTGCATTATCTCATTTAATGAGCATCTGACTTAAATCAGAGACTTCAGGTCCCCAGGGGTGAGGATGATGTCTCCGTTCCTGGTCCACCCAGTGCTGGCCCCTGCCCTCACCTTCCCCCTCCTCCCTATAAAAAGAGCCCCAGACAAAGGCCACACAGGGCTGGGTGCAGGACGGAGTGCCAGGATTTGGCCCATAGAGAGGAGTAAGGAAAGAAGAGAGACCGACGATCCAATCCAATGGAAGAAAGAGCAAAGAATGGAAGAGACAGTTCACAGAATGAAGACGCAAAGCCTTGAGACATATAAAGAGATGCTCCATCCCACTCATAAAGAAACACAAAGAAAACCAACAAAATGCCATTCCTCACCCGTCAGATTCATAAAAATCTCTAAAGTCTGACAGACCACTGTTGGCAAGGCTATGGGAAAACTGCATGCTCATGTTTTGCTGGGGGGAAAACAAAATACTTTGACCCCTCCAGAGGACAATTGGCCACTATCTATTGCAGTTTCAGATGCATGTTCCCACTGCCCTATCAGTTTTACCTCTAGACACCCATCCTACAGAAATACTTGCACATGTGAGGAATGACACATGTGTGAGGCTATTCACTGCAGCGTGGCTTGAACTAGTAAGGATTTGGAACAATCCATGTGTCCACCAGTGGAGAACAGGTTAGATCAAGTATGGTCCATCCGTACAATGGAGTACTAGGCAGCTCTCAAACAGAATGAGGATGCCTCTAGGTAGTGACATGAAACAATCTCCAAGTTATATGATTAAGTGAAAAAGCAAGGTGCAGAGCGGTGAGTGTGATGCACAGCCATTTGTGCTAAAAGGTAAGAGATAAAAATCTACAGTTGGATGGGCACGGTGGCTCATGCCTTAATCCCAGCACTTTGGGAGCCCAAGGCAGGTGAATCACTTGAGGTCAGGAGTTCAAGACCAGCCTGGATAATGTGGCAAAACCCCGTCTCTACTAAAAATACAAAAATTAGCCGGGAGTGGTGGCACATGCCTATAGTACCAGCTACTCGGGAGGCCGAGGCATAAAAATCACCTGAATCCAGGAGGCAGAAGCTGCAATGAGCCGAGATTGCACCACTGGACTCCAGCCTGGGCTACTAAGTGAGACTCCGTCTCAAGAATAAAAAGAATCTGCAGTCATATTTGCTTACACATGCATCACAAAACCAGAATAATATAAAGGAAACTAATTGCAGTGGTTTTCTTTGAAAAGGAAGAAATGAATGAATTGATTGTTGGATGAGGTACAGAGCAAGAGGGAGATTTTTCATGATTGATTGATAGATAGATAGATAGATAGATAGATAGATAGATAGATAGATAGAATAAATATACTACCTAATTCAAAAATTAGATAAACAAATTTTTACAATAAAAGACACGTGAACAAGACCCAGCTGAGCGGCCCTGTCAACTCTGTGCCCCAGGTCCCTGGAATAAGAAGGCACAGGCTGCCCCAGCACACACACAGGATGTACATGGGCTGCTTCAGCCCCTGCCCCAGGCATCTGGCCCTCCTCCATCTCAAACACTTCAACCTGGCTGCCTTCACCGGGATGTGGGTCTGGGGGCTTGAACAGCAGCTGGTCCATCTGCCACACCCCAGCCAGCACTGCCTCTGGCCCCAGAGATCCCTGCCAGCCTTCCCCCATCCTGTTTCACCCACAGGCACTCAGCCAGGGCCGCACCATGCTGCTTCTTCCTCTTCCTCTGCTTCTCTTTTCTTCTTCCTTTACCTTTTTACCTTCCTTCACTCCCCAATGGAGTATTATTAGCACACTGTCTCTGGAAGGCTATTTGGTCATCTGTATCAGACACTTAAAGATAAGCCCTCTGGCTTAGCAGCCCCAATTCTAGAAACTTCCCTATAGAAAAGCAATCAGAGTGTGGATGAAGATTCCTGTATGCTGATGTTTGTCACAAAGTTGTTTATAAAAGGGAAAAATTGGAATTATATATATCCAAAAATAAGTCAAATGTTATAGTATACTCATCTGACAGAATATTATGCCGCCATAAAAAAAATCATTTCAATGACTATTTAATAATCTGAGAAAAGATGAGACAACACAAGCCGTTTACCAAACTGCATGTATATAGTTGATTCTCATTATTCATGGTAGTTACTATCTATAAGGTCACCAGGAACCCTGACTGGTGAACACTGACTCATTACCCCAGAGGAGAAGCAGGGTTAAATTCCTGCCAGCCTCTGTCACAACGTTTTTGTCAACTGATCAATAGGTAACCTTGGTTTATGTGTGCTTCTGTGGAAGGACACCTTACTTTTGAATATATATTGTTGAGTCATCGGCATTGAACTTACAGCCAATGGCACCGTGACCGAAGCCTGCAGGAAGCTTACCTATCACGCGCACTTCCTCTGTCAGGCACATCACAGCTGTTCTGAGCTTAGAAAAGCCAGACAGCACTTCAGCATGACATTTGGAGCCATTTTAAACAGTGAAGTTGCCAACAAAGGCACAAAAATGTGAAAAACATGAGACTACACAGGACACGTATCAAAGGACACGTATTTTGTCTGTGTCCTTTGATACGTGTCCTGTGTAGTATCATGTTTTGAGACTCTCTGCCTCCCTGCTTCAACTCTCATGGAGTAAACACATGTCTTTTGATCATGTATTTACTTTTGATACATGTCTTTTGATCATGGACACGTGTTTACTCCATGAGAGCTGGAGCAGGGAGGCAGAGAGTCACCTTGTTCAACCTCAGCAACCAACATACGTGCTGGGAGATTCCAATTTTTCAAAGCCCTGAAAGTGTCCTCAAATCATCACTAAAGTGCCACGAGTGTTGATTTTGGGCTTGCAGAATCAATATCTTCATTATTTTATTCCCAGTCAGTGGGAAGAGGGGAGGTAAGAGGGTAGTGGGAGCTAAAGGGAGAAAACATACTAGAAGGAAATACAAACCAATGTTACCAGTAATTCTCTCCAGGGTGGTGCAGGGTACAGAATACGGTCCAGGGTACAGAATATGGTACAGGGTATAGAATATGGTGCAGGGTACAGAATATGGTGCAGGGTACAAAATATGGTGCAGGGTACAGAATATGGTGCAGGGTACAGAATATGGTACAGGGTATAGAATATGGTGCAGGGTACAGAATATGGTACAGGGTATAGAATATGGTGCAGGGTATAGAATATGGTGCAGGGTACAGAATATGGTGCAGGGTATAGAATATGGTGCAGGGTACAGAATATGGTACAGGGTATAGAATATGGTGCAGGGTATAGAATATGGTGCAGTGGGAGTTTTTGTTGTTTTCCTTTTCTCTGATTTTTTCAATTTTTTGCAATTTGTGGGTTTTATTCTTAAATTCATAAAAGAAAAAAGGTGTTTTAAAACTTCCTGTCCTGCCCTACAAGTACCTACCTTTTGTTTCTTCCATACCATGAAGTGCACAGTCGCACGCACTCTCCCACGCTCCTATCTTCTTAGTAACTTGGCCAAATCAAGTATGGTTCACATCTTGGATAATACTGCCACCAAGCGTCCATAAGGGGAAATGCAAAGAAGGCCGGCTGGGGTGGGTGGGGCACACAGAAGGTAACCTCAGGGCTCTTCAGCTTAGGATGTAATGAGAAAAAAGGGACATGCAAGCAGGCTAAAAGAGAGGGACAGGCAGAATGAGACACGCCATAAGAGCAGCAGAAGCGGGGAGGCCACAAGGAGGTGGCTCAGGGAAGAGAGGACGCAAAGGCCTGGGGACCACCGGAGACGGCGGCCAGATTGAAACTTTCAAGACGGAGTGTTGCAGCTGCCTCCTTCACCATAAGGTCATTCTTCAACTCCCTCCACCTCTTTCTAGAGGAAAAATGGGAGGTGCAGCTTCTTGCATGAGCCCAGATGCCAACCCACAGTATACAGTCACTTGTCTTGGCCGCCTTTGCCCCTTCACCTCCCCTAGATACTGGTACCTTCCTACAGAAATCCCCAGGGCCAGCCAAGGGCATCTCAGAACAGAAGACCCAGGGAGATCAAAGATGCTAGCAGGGACCCCGGAGCAGCCAGGAGCCCCAGAGCTCTGAGGCTTAGTTCCAACGAATGTGAAGGCACGTCGGTCTTGGTTCCAGCCACCATCGAAATACCTTCCGTGTTGGGAATGCAAAATAAGAACAATCTCAGGACGTGAATTTCCCAAGTGTCAAGTGGAAAAATTAATCCTAGTCCTTGGAGCTAGTGTCCCACAAAAAACATACAGCCGCAGCTTCCTGTTTCCTTCCTGCCTTCAAGGAGCTGTCCCCATTCCTCCTGATGCCAGGAGCAGGGCGTAAGACCCGTACCCTGAGCCCACACCAAAACCTGCACTCAGGTGAGGATCTGCAGTGAGCAGTTACACCTCCACATGAACGAGTTTACAATCTGCATTACACCCCCATGTACATTTTCACTGGGACCCTGTGCTAGTCTCTGAAGAGAGAGAGCCCAGCTCAAAGGGGCTCCCGATGGCCACCTTCAGTATAATTCAAACATCAACACAATAATGACTGATTTAACACATTAAAAATAAAAAGCATTGAGGTCCATACTAATACTCAACGAGGCAGGAGGGAGAAAGCTCTTCTTTGCAGAAAAAAAGTCAGCTAATCAAGAGAAAAAGAATGATAATGAGAAAATCACCACTTTGCAGTCCCAACTAAATGACTTCTTCAGACAGGAAGGTCAATGGATGCTTAGACCATTAGGTAAAAGATAGCTGAGAAATAGGATATCCGTACAGTGCCAAGATATTGCCCACAGTTTACTTGCTAATTACAAAGGGGGAACATTTACTTTTATAAGAGAGCCATCTGGAGGCATCACTTTCACCGTGTGATCAGGCAATCAACCCTGATGATGGGACAACCTGACATTATGGCTTTCTGTTGTGATGCCATATGACATGCAGAACATCACCTATGCTGACTTCTTGCCGAAATACTTCATCTGAGTCTAATCAAGTCTCTAGACCTAACTTCCAGTTTACAGGAAAGAGAGGAGCCAGAGAAACAAGTTAAACAGCAGAAGAAAACAATCGAACAAATCCAGTACTTGGACAAATGGCCTGGGCTGTTCAAAAATTCGATGCATGAGGTGAGAAACAAAGGAGTGGTCCTGGGAACAGCTGGCAGTGGCTACGGGGACACGAGGTAGGGGTGGGCCCTGGGGACATGTTTAAAGTCAAAAGCTAGAGGTGGCATGTGTGATATGGAGAGAGAAAAAAGAGGGAGGAATCAAGGCAGGTCCACATTTTCTGCCTTTGATGGTTGTACCTGGCTAAGACAGAGGCTTTTGGATATGGGGCAGTTTGCGCAGAGAAAATGACTCCCTCCAGGGCTCAGAGGGGCAGCAGGCAGAGCTGTTTAGAGGCACAGAGAGGCCTGGGGTTGAAGGGAGGGGTTGGAGAGCTACCGAGTTCTCTGCGGAGAGGTGACGGCTGAAGCCTGGGAGGGCTGGGGCTGCCAGGAAAGCCCGTAGGGGGCACACAGACACTGTGGGCTGGACAGCCTGGGTAGAGACAAGGGCTGGGACAGAAGTCAGCAGGGACTGGAGCCACAGCACCGCCTCAGGGCAGGAAGGCGGGCTGCAAGGAAGAGACTAGGGCGCCCACCAGAGGGGTCTTTCTCTGCCCAACTCCCCCCACATTTTTAAAATAATCATTATGTTTTTATCCCACATCTTTAAAATATATTTTCCCTATCTTTATGCCTTCATGTCTGGTTTCCATGCTATTGCTCCATTTTCCCCCAAATGTTCCTCTACTATCCACTGTCTGACGTCCTCTCCTGGGCTATCTGCATCTATGTGTCTGTCTGGGACACCCCCAGGCAGACCTGTCCACATTCGTGTGCAGGGCAGCCTCTGAGAGCTGGGCCTGTGTGGGTGTCTCACCACACACCAGGATCAGCCCCTCCCTGTGCACACACATCTGGTGCGGGCGCCTCGCTCTGTCTTGCTCTCACCCCGCACTGTCCACAGGGCACCAGGAAGTCCCCTCCCGAGAGAACCCTCCTGCTCCCTTACTGCTTACCATTTTCCCCGCAAAGCTGACCTCCACAAAGGGGTCCACCAAGTTCTTCTTGTTACTCTCAAAGCCAAAGATCTGTTTCACGTTGTCCATCACAGCATCGTCCACTGGGAAGAGGGACACACCAGTCATTGCCTGCCTGCTGTCTCACCTCCAAAACCCTGACTATCCCCCATCTGTCTCCAGGCAGTCCTGGGACTATCTGAGCAAGAAGTTGTGACCCCTTCACACAGGGACTCAGTCCAGGGGCCCCCCAGAGGGAGGACTGTCTCAGAGCAGTAACTACTGAGAGCACCGGGCCACTTTGTCACCAGTCCCAAACGGCTCATTCACTGTCCTCACCCTGCATTCAAAGCCTTTCAGTCAAATCTACCAACTTATCGACTGCTTGACTGATTAGAAATCTACATCACTAAGGGCAGTAAGTACCCAGAAAAGGACTGGCAGTTGTTATAACAATATCCCATTATTGGTGCCTGGTTGACATTTTCCTTTAAATCTATTAGTGCAGCGATTTACCTGAGGTTAACCAAGAAGTCAATTCTGTTGTTTTTTTCTTAAGAGTTTTTAATCTATGCTGCCTCAAACCAATTATTTTTTGAATGAGTCAGATTATTTACATATGTAGATATAGATAGACAGATAATGTATATGTGTATACACATACATACGTGTATAAAGCATGTTATATTTATAGGCATATGAGTGGGTGAGTGGGGGGGATAGTTAAAGATTATACTAGCTAATGTCTACATGAGTACAAAAGGCACAACAATTAGCAAACATTTATGATCTGTTTGCCCATCTATTTTTTTTTTCAAACAACATTGCAGGGAATTCAACACAAAGCTCTTTCACCTTAAGAAAAGCAAACATTTCTATTTCCCCATGCCCCTCTTGAAGTTCACCAGCCTCACTTCTACATAGTTGCAATCAATAAGTGCAGAATATTTGTAAACATGTATTTTAGTACTGAATTAATACCCATTACTTATTTACAGGCTTTCTTCAGGATTTGGTCCAAGTAAGCTTGTACATTTCATTTCTTGATGTCAGCAGCCAAAGCAGAAACTCTCAAACAATTATCTTTATGGAAAAGTTGTAACCAGGGACCCACATTGCAAACCTTCTCACTGACTATGCTGTGGACAGTGGCTTGGTTGTGTTGATGTATGCTCTAAAATAGCGGCTCACAACTGGGCCTCACGACAGAATAACCTGGGGAACCTTTAAACCCTTCCAGTGCTGAGCCCTGCCCTAACTCAAGTCCATCTGAAATGCTGGAAGCAGGGCCCTGGCATTTGGACCGTTTTGAATCTTCCCAGGTAATTCTAATATCAGCCCAAGTTGATACCCAGAGCTCTCGAATATTCAGTATAATTCCCCAGCATTTACTAAACACACAGATGGGTCTAGAACCGGGCCAACCACTGTGAGGAACCAGGCAGTGGCCACATTGGCCTTCCTGGGAGGAAGAGATGGTTGCAAGTCGGGTACCCACTGTCCCAGTTTGCCGGAGATCACAGGGTTTCCTGGAACAGGCACTTTCAGTGCTAAAACCAGGACAATCTGAGGCAAGCTAGGATAGTGGGTCACCTTGTGGATCCGTGTCCTTCATCTGTGAAGACAGGGGGCCCCAGGAATCCTTCAAGCAAACCCTTCCAACGTTAGAGCAACTGCTCCCCAGTCCAGCTCTGCCGACTTGCAGGATGCGCTTCCTCATAGCGGGAAGGAAAATCAGTGAGAGCCAGCCCTAAGGCCAGAATAGAGTCCAGATGGTGCTGACTCCTCAATGACAACCAAGAAAATGGGTCCACAGAGTAGCCAAATAGCCACACCAGGCCCAGAGGACACTGGAATGGAGCTGAGAGGCAGCTGTTACTCTCAAGAGTTCTTGAATCTTCGTAACTCCACCAATACTGATTACTTTTCATTAAATTCTGATTGTTTTCCTAGACGCCTCTCCTTCCCCCAGGGAGCTGACTCCACCCGCCACCGCCCACCCTCACCAGCCCTGCGCCTCCAGCCTCCTGCAGACCTCCCACCCAAGGGCGCGCCCCACGCACTCTGTGGCAAGTCCTCGGCCCGGAAGACCTTCAGGCAGAAGTGGGCTCCTCGCAGGGCCACGCCTGTGGGCCGGAGCAGGTTGCTTTCAATGTCCTCCTTGTCTTCAGAGGGCTCTTTTCTCTCCAGCTACAAAGGAAACCAAATATGATTCCTTCACGCGCTCCTGAGCGCAGGGTTTTACTCTCTTTTTCTAAGAGTTCCATTTTCACCACATTCTGAAGTAAGGCAGACTGCGCTCCGCCACTTAGTCCCATACAAGGCACTACCGCATAGTCCCAGGCAAGGTCCTTCGCCTGAGCCCCAGCTTCCTCTTGAGTACAGCAGAGACCATGACACTGACCTTCCAGGACTGTGCGAGGAACATCTCCAATAATGATGGAAATCATGTGGCACACGGCAAGCATTCCACCAACCTGTCTCCTTCCCTCTCTCCCCCACCTCCCAGTTAAAATATAATACAGTAGTCACTGAGGTCTAAGCTGGCCACTCTATCTTCAATAACATGCAGGTGTTCATTCACCCCGCCAGTAGCTCCTGAGTGACTAGCAGGTGTCTGTATGGTGCTGAAGGGCAGGGGATACGGCAGTGAATAAGGGAATGACGTGAATAAGCGCCCTCTTCCCATGGGGCTGACTATCTTGCAGGGAAAACAGACTTTCAGCAAATGAATCCAATAACTTGTCCTGTGTCTTGTGGTTGGAACAGTAATAACAAAAATCACATCCCACATGTATTGATGTGGATGCACTCTCTCATTTAATCCTCACAGCACCCCCCTTGAGTGGGTCTCAAACTTGGCTGCACATTAGAAACACCTGGTGGGGGGCCGGGTGCGGTGGCTCACACCTGTAATCCCAGCACTCTGGGAGGCCAAGGCAGGCGAATCACCTGAGGTCAGGAGTTCAAGGCCAGCTCACTAACATGGGGAAACCCCATCTCTACCAAATAATACAAAACTTAGCCAGGTGTGGTGGCGTGCACCTGTAGTCCCAGCTACTCAGAGGCTGAGATGGGAGAACTGCTTGAACCTGGGAAGCAGAGGTTGCAGTGAGCCGAGATTGCACCACCGCACTCCAGCCTGGGCACCTTTTCCCCATCTCAAAAAAAAAGGAAAAGAAAAGACACACCTGGGAAGCCCAGGTCACACCCCAGACCAATTAAAACATAATTTCCGGGAGAGAGTACCCATGCAGCAGTGGCTTTTAAAGCTTCCCAGATGATTCCAACTGGCTGAGAATTAGTGTCTTCTAGACCACTGCTGTGCATTCCAATTAAAACACGGGTTCTAGTTCAGCAGGTCTGGGGTGGGGCCCAAGAGTCTGCATTTCAACACGTGTCCAAGTGATGCCCACGCTGCTTGCCCACAGATGATGCTCTGGGTGCAAGGGCCTAGAATGCCCCCACTTTACAGATACGAAAGCTGAGGTTTAACACAGGCTGGAAGCAGAACCCATGTGCTTGGAGAGTACAGAGCAAGGGGGATTGTAACTATACTGAGGCGGGGTCAGAAATGCTGCCCAGCTTGAGACCCGGATGATGAGCAAGAGGTGGAGGCATCCAGACGAGGAGGCAACTCATGCAGAGGCCTTTGCACAAGGGGAAGTTGGCAGCTGGAGGAACAGACAAAAGATCTGGTGGCTGCTCTTGGGCTAGCGAGCAGCGAAGGGACAGGAGAATAGCAAGGTCAGGCTGTGCCCAGCAGCCCACTCCTTGGACAGTTGCCTGGACTAGCCTCACCTCATTCATTTCTCACTCAGTCACACTTGACACGTAGAAACCTGCTTCAGGATCCTTGCAGCAAAACACTCAATCCCAGAATGCCCATATCACAGCAATGCCCAAAGGGATGTGTTCTGTGTTTATTCTCCTCAGCTCATATCAGAAGAAAACAATCATCTTTCAGGCATCCATAAAAGGGTCTATTCCCCTAGACAATAAGCACTGATTGAGCACCTACTGTGTACAAGACCTGCCATACTAGGCAAGAGGGGAGATAAAAGATACCATATTTGCTATATTGTCCCCATCACCAAGAAACGGAATCTCAGTGATGAAGACAGACACATAAGCTGGTTAGACTACCAAAGGGCTGGGTGGTGGCCCAAAGGAAAGATCAATACATTTTCCTGGAGGACTTCTTCCTGGAGGCAAGCTTTAGGGAGGAAGTGGCATCTGAACGGGGCCTGGAAGAACAAATTGGTGCTTGGTAGGCAAAGAGAGGGAAGGTATTCCAGCAAGGGAAAAGGCCGGAGAGGAATGGAAGAGTGTTCTGGAAAGAGTCATATCATCTGGTGTGGCCACAGACGGGGCCCATGAAGATACATAACAGCAAGTGGGACTGGAAAACTGGGCTAAGGCCAAATGTCAAGGGCCTTGAATGTCATGCTAAGGATCTTGGACTCTATCCTGAAAGCAATGGGAAGTCACTGGACATTTTGTAAGAGGAGACACGCATGATTCTACCTGGGTTTAAAAATGATGACTGTTGGTCAGGCACAGTGGCTCATGCCTGTAATTCTAGCACTTTGGGAGGCCGAGGCAGGTGGATCACAAGGTCAGGAGTTTGAGACCAGCCTGACCAATATGGTGAAAACCCATCTCTACTAAAAATACAAAAAGTAGCCAGGCATGGTGGCGCACGCCTATAATCCCAGCTACTCAGGAGGCTGAGGCAGGAGAATTGCTTGAACTCGGGAGGCAGAGGTTGCAGTGAGCCAAGATTATACCACAGCACTCCAGCCTGGGTGACAGAGCAAGACTCTATCTCAAAAAAAAATAAAAATAAAAATAAAGATGACTGGTGATAAGGTGGGGATAGGTGGAGAAGTATAACATAAGAAGTTAGGAGACCTCAGAGGACACTTAGGAGGGATGGCAGAAACTGCTAGTTGTCCCCCCAAATCCAGTCTTTTCTGCCTCCTCTAACAAACCCTCAATTTTTAGCTGGACAGCATTAGGATGGACTTTATTTCCCAGGCTCCCTCGTAGTTAGATGTGGCCATGTGACTAAGTTCTGGTCAATAGGACCTAAGCACAAATGTGTACAACTTCTGGGTCACGGCTTTGAAGGAAGAGACGTGGCCTCCATAGTCCTTTACTCCCATTTCCCTGGCTGGAATACAGACATGGTGATGGGAACTGGAGCAACCGTCTTGGGCCGTGTGATGGAGGCTGCATGATGATCACAGTGGAGAAAAGGCCAGGAGCCTGGGTCTCTGATCATTGCCGAAGCACTGTGCCTATTCTGGACTGTGGCATTCATGAGAGAGAAATAAACATCTGTCCTCCTTAATGCCTATTACTTGGGGCATCTTTGTTACACCAGCTGAACCTATATTGTAATTCACAAAGAGACCCAAGTGAGAGAGAGTGGGAGCTGGGCCTCAAACTCTGGTCTTGCGATGGGAAAAAGAAGAGGCATACGCAGAGGTTTTCACACCAACAAGACTGGCCAACTACTTGCATGGGGACTGAGGGGTAAAGAATGAAAATCTGGCCTCTGGTTTGGGGGACTAAGTGGCTAAACATGCAATTTCCTAAGATGTCACCTAATACAGGATGGGGAACAGGTGTGGGAGCTTATATATAGAATAAGCTCACTGTTGCAAAAAGAAATGCAGCAAATGATACCAGGCTTTGCTCTAATACATCAGAGGGGCCTAAGGGACACGTTAATGTGGCCTGATGACAAGACAACTGAAACTGAGCGTCCGGAGCTCAGAAGATCCAGGCTGGAGAAGAGCAATTTACAAGTCTCAGGTGGTGTCTGAAAGAGACGGACTCCTCAACAGTGAGGGGCAGGACACAGCAAAGGAACAGGGACTGAACTGCAACATCGAATTCGAAGAACCCACTGGAAAAGGAGCAGGGAGAATCAGGAGAGTCATGAATGCTAAGGGAGGAGGAATTTCAAATACAGCGTGGGCTCCGGAATTGAATGCTGTGGAGCCGTGGTGCAGACTAACAACAGGGGAGAGCTCCTAAGCTCTGGTGATGAGCGACCCTTACACCAGTGGTTTCAGGGAGGGGAGGCGGTAGGATTCCTACTGAAGAGAAGGAATGAGCAGCTGGTAGTGGAGTGGAAAAAGGGGGACGCAGTGCACCCTTTCAAGAAGTTGGTGATGACCAGCAGTAGGAGAGAGAGAAAATAGTAGTGGAGAGGAGGGGTGGGGAGAAATGGGTCAATGAAGGGGTGCTTTAGGATGGGGAAATCTTGAGCCTGGCACAGATCATGGAGCAGGAGGCAGAGGACACAAGTGTGAGAAGAGATCAGAAAAAGGAGGCAAATAAGACAGTGGAGGATGTGAGGTCATGGCCAGGAGGTGGTGGGATGATGGAGCGGGAGGGGCGGCGGAAGGGAGGGAAGGTGGATGAAGATTTGGGGGGCAAGTTGAGGACCACGGGAGCTCCCAGAGCTCTCACCACTACATCGCTGTGCAGCTCTGCCTCTCCAAGGGAAGCTGAGGTTGGAGCTTAGGAAAGGCAAGAAAGCCTGGAAATAGCCAGGAGAGATAAGGAGTAAGGAGATGAGGCGAATGAGATAAGGAGTAAACTACACCCAGGTAAAGGAAGAGGCAGACAGCACCCAGGGCCCAGCTGAAACCCACCTTCATCCAAGCAGCACGTCCAGGTGGCCAAGGAACCAGTGTGTGGTGAGGATGGGGGTGACACGAGGCATGGCAGGAGACCCCAAGGGCCCTGTCCTCCTCTCCCTCCCTGCCCAGTGCCATCAGCCATGTTCAGGATGCCCTGGTACCTCACCCCTGACCTTCACCTCACCCCTGACCTTCCCCTCACCCCTGACCTTCCCCTCACTCCTGACCTTCAGCACTCCTGGCTTGCCCTCGCCCAACACATCCACCACCCACACGCCTCTCTTCTACTTCTGCACTGCTGAGCACCATGAGGCAAGTGGCTCCACTACAAACAAAGCGTCCAACCCAGAGTGGGCACTCCGGTGTTTGTGCAGAAATCCTTTCATTAAATCTAGCCCGTCATTCCTCTTGCACAAAGATGATTCCAAACCTTTTCTCCTCCTCTCACACATACAAAGATGCGGATACCTCCCCTGCTCTCAACACTTTTCTCATTCTTACCACCTCCAACTTATAACTTTACTTACTGACATGTAGAGATGAGCATGATACATTCTTAGGCAATGAAATTCAAGTCACAACATAATATATATAGAATAAGCTCACTGTTGCAAAAAGGAAAATATGTGTGTGTGTGCCATTCCAGAGGGATGTGCAATGAGATAATAATAGCTCTCTCAGAGTGGTAGGATTATGAGTGATTCATTTTTTATTAATACCTTGCACCCAGAGCACTCATTTTTCATTAACGCCTTTCTACATGTTCTACATTTCTCATTAATTACCATATATTAGTTTAAATCAGAAAAAAAAAAAAGAGTGTTTGTGGTTTGGTGCCCCCACCACCAAGTGCTGCATGGGGGACCGTAAGGAAGACCCAGGGAAATGTACTCACAGGCGCTTCATCCCCAGGCCCCAGCACACAAAGACTTGTTTTCAGGTAACCTCTGGCCCCAGCAGAGAAGTCATCAGGGTCTGAGAGCAGCAGCCACTTCCTGAGATAGGCGTGCCCTAAGAGAGACAACATCCACTGGTGATCCCAGAATCAGAAGACCCCAGCCTGTGACCACATCCAGGAGCCCAGGATGGACTGCACAGGGGACGTAAAGGATTCATCCACTGGGCCATGAGCCCAGGACTCAGATTCTAGAATCAAAAGGTACTTTGAGTGTTCATGCGGTCAGAGTCAGAAATATTAACCCTGTAAGAGGCTGGCAGAGCCAAACCCAGGCCATTTTCCTCCCCTTCAAGAAGTGACCAGATCAGAATGGAAACCAGGGTGAGGAGAAATCCTGGTTTGTCACCCAAATGACCTGTCCCTGTCTGCCGTGAGCCCAGTCTCCAGTAATGGGGCCTTTCAGATCTAGCCTCCCTGAATGGGCCAGCGGAGACACAGGTGAGCGTTACACGCTCCCGAGGGCTTGTCTCACATGGAGGATGAATGACCTGCCTTCTCTCCCAAGATCAAACCCTTCCTCTAGATTCTAAAACCCCCAGGAGAGACAGTGAGGATCCCAAATGGGTGTCCCCAGTCAGCCTCTAGAACCAAAATGCAAGGATACAGCCAAAGTGGTGAGAACTCACGGGGCTCTCTGTAAATGGTGCCCACGTCCATCTGCAATCAACGAGAGGAGACACAAATCAAACTCTTGCCGCTGAAGCATTAAACAAAGTGTGGTGCATTACACGATTCCATTAAAAACCATGTTTTTGAAGAACTTTTGGAAGCACAGGGAAACATTCGCCATTTGATACTATATGAAAAGAAAGTGAAATACATTTTGATCCCAGTTTGATAAAGAATGCTTATGTACAGAAAAGAAAGAGGAAAGGAGGCTGGGCGTGTTGGCTCATGCCTATAATCCCAGCAATTTGGGAGGTCGAGGCAGGTGGATCACTTGAAGTCAGGGGTTCGAGACCAGCCTCCTGACCAACATGGTGAAACTCCATCTCTATTAAAAATAAAATTAAAAAAAAAAAATAGCCGGGTGTGGTGGCGCATGCCTGTAATTCCAGCTACTTGGGAAGCTGAGGCAAGAGAATCACTGGAACCTAGGAGGTGGAGGTTGCAGTGAGTTGAGATCACGCCATTGCACTCCAGCCTTGGCAACAAGAGCAAAAATCCGTCTAAAAAAAAAGAGGAAAGGAAATTCACACAATAGGACTATGTTATCTCTGCATGGTAGATTGGGGTGATTTTTATTTCATTTTTTATTCCTTCCTGTGTTTTACAATTTTCTATTAAAAATCCATAGATTACTGGGATGGTGACAGTGGGGAAGGCCGCAGCGGGGGCGGGGGGCAGGGAGTATTTGGGAACTGTGTCCATTCCACTCAATTTTTGCTGTGAATCTAAAACAGCTCTAAAAAGTTGTCTATTTTTTTAAATCATAGATTACTTTTATAATTAGATACAAGTAAAATAATTTTTTGACTTAACCCTTGGGTTCTCAGAACAAGAATATAAAGAGACTCAAAACATAATTAAGATTTAATTTGTTACAGAATGACTCAGGCTCAAACTCATTCTTTTAAAAAATGCTTCTCCAGGTAAACAGATTTAGTTTTTTATCTTGTGACTTCTTTCCACAGGCAATGATTTGGGAAGACATCGAAATCTCACCTGCTGATCTAGCCATCGGGTCCAACCCAGCAATTTTTTTTTTGAGATGGAGTCTCGCTCTGTCGCCCAGGCTGGAGGGCAGTGGTGCGATCTCGGCTCACTGCAACCTCTGTCGCCCAGGTTCAAACAATTCTCCTGCCTCAGCCTCCCGAGTAGCGGGGATTACAAGCGCCCACCACCACGCCCAGCTAATTTTTGTATTTTTAGTAGAGACGGGGTTTTACCATGTTGGCCAGGCTGGTCTTCAACTACTGACCTCAAGTGATCTGCCCACCTCGGCCTCCCAAAGCACTGGGATCACAGGCATGAGCCACCACGCCTGGTCCCAGCAATTATATATTGCGCAGAATAAATAATTCTAAGGTAACTGTTCTGACAACAGGTAGAATACAAGCCCCTTATTTTAAATTTGTATTTAAAATACAAATGTAAAGAAGGAAGGCATAATACACTTGGATAGAGGGGAGAGGGTAAAAATAAGCTTGTGCTCTTTCTTTCCTTTTGATAAATCCTTGAAAATTTCAAAATGAGAAAATTAATAACAATTACATCAAATTACATTAAAACACCGTGCAGGCCAGGCGCAGTGCTCATGCCTGTAATCCCAACACTTTGGGAGGCCAAGGAGGTCAGATCACAAGGTCAGGAGTTCAAGACCAGCCTGACCAACATGGTGAAACCCTGCCTCTACTAAAAATACCAAAAAAAAAAAAAATTAGCTTGGCATGGTGGCACACACCTGTAATCCCAGAAACTTGGGAGGCTGAGGCAGGAGAATCACTTGAACCCGGGAGGCAGAGGTTGCAGTGAGCTGAGATCACACCACTGCACTCCAGCCTGGGTGACAGAGCAAGACTCCATTTCAAAATAATGATGATGATGATGATGATAATAATAATGATAATAATACAGGTCTCCTTTAGTCTGTGCAATTACTAGTTACTTTTACTTTACGTAATCTGTTAAATCCATTGGTTCTCGGTTCTCGGAATAGGACTATTTACTTCTGGACTGTCTGGGACAAGTGAGGAGGCTGGGGCAGGGTTCCCCTCTCTTCATTGCCTCTCCCTCCCTCAGGGATCCACATCTGAACCCCACTCCCAATCCAGAGTGAGAGTGACATCAGGGCAGAGAGCGCTGAGTCTCACTGGCCCAAGATGGCCAGGATGAGAAGAAGGGCTGCCCAAACTCAGATCTCACACTGCCTTCCCAGAGGTGGGGGAAAATCCAAATTACAAATAAGGGTCTTGATTCTGCCTGTTGGAAATAAGGGAAGAAGTACTTCCCTCCCCTCTCTTTTTGTCAGAACACTTACCTTAGAAAACTTGTAAATATATTACACTTTCCCTGTCTCTTTGAAATGCATCTTTTAAAGAAACTAAATAAGCCTTTTGTCAGCTTTAGTATACAAGTGTCATTCTCAGGACGTCTGAAATGTAAACACCAAGGGAGATGGCTCCCCTATGTCCCAGCTTCTGTGGGAAGATAGGAGCCTAACTCCTGTGCGCACCTGGCTCCAAGTTGTTAAACTACTTCCTGCCATAAAAATACGAGTTTCATTTTTGTTTGGTCTTCTGGACACAATAGCTAACATAGATGGTCACTCCGATTACCAGGTGACTTTGGGATGAACTCGGTGTGACCAACGGTGCCGTACATATTTTTAAGAAACTAAGTAAGTCTTTTGTCAGCTTTAGTATACAAATGTCATTTTCAGGAGGTCTGAAATGTTAAGTCCCCTGATCTGAGGGTGGGGCATGATGTCTCTTGAGAATGTATGTGGTGGGCAATCAGTTGAACCCGCTGGCTAAATTAGCATGAGATTTCTTTCTGTCTTTGCAGCATCTTAGCAGATCATTGCCTGTGATGTGCATCTCACTCTGGTTTAAGGCCTCTTCAATGATAGAAAAGTGCTTTCTTTCTCTTCTACCTTTGTGGAGAGGTTTTCTGGGGTGAAAGGAGATGCTGTGCAGAGGGTTTGGTGTTGTTTTTTGAAATAATATTTTCCCAAAGCAGAGACACACAGGATCTCTGGAGTGCCACCCCTGCCCATGGCCCACAGAAGCTCCACCAACACGGAGAAGTGAGAACTGACTGCTTTCATTGAAAATAAGCAATTACCCGGAACTCCCCAAGGAGAGCATCTGTCCTGAGAGAACGGGAGTCTACCACCTGCAGAGAAAGATCACGGAAACTCACATTCACAGGGAACATGTGGCCCACACGGCCAACCCAATAGCTCTTCCCTCCCAAACAATAACTGCCAACGCTTCACACTTACTCAATTCCAGAGATTGTTCTAAGCAATATTTAGCCCTCACAAGAACCCCATCAGCAGATACTGTCATTATCCCCATTTCACGGATGAAACAGGGGCACAGAGACTTGTACAGAAACACACAACCCCTACATGGCATAGACAGAGCTGGAATCCACCCTAGTGCCAGAGCCTACACTTTCAGCCGCTTGGCTATAGTGCCTTTCAGAGGAGATGGGGGAAGAGCCAAGGCCCAGAGAAAGAGAATCTCCATCAGAAGCAGGCACGTGGATTAACAAAATAAGATGGAAACTTAAATGTTCATTGCCACAAGTGATTCAAGGACCCTGACCTGAGACCCCAGGGGGATGCTGAGCAGTGGGGTCTCCTGCAGCTGCTGCCTCCAGCTGAGCTGTTGTAGGCATTTCTGTGACCCGTAGGGCCTGACTGTGAGTTACTCCACATCATCCACGTGTCAGGCTTTAACACGCCTCCCTCTCACACACACACACACACTGACAGGCACACACACGCATGCACACACATGCACAATCACACATACACACACACACACCTGCGTGCACTGACACCTATGTGCGTACATACAGCCCACGGAGAACACTTTGACTGCTGAGACGTACCGTGATAAAGATGGGCTCATCAAACAGCTCCGCGGGACAGTCAAACAAGTTGAAGAAAAGAGTCTGTTGGTTCAGAGCAAAGGGAGACATACCAGTGCCTGCTGACCCCTCAGGCCAGGGAGAGGGAGGACCACCCCCGCAAGCCTCCACGCCTAGCAGTTTAGTCCCCTCGGAAAATGTGGATTGGGCTCAGCATTGGGGATTGGACAAGTTCTGGGGTGATCTGCCCCTGGCCTCACAGACATGGTCATTTCAGGGTTGGGTGAGTGGCTAGCCGTATAGGGTGACAGGGATGTGGAACAGCAGAAGAAGTAAGAGCAGGAGCCCTTTCTCCAGCCCCACAGATAACCTCCTTGGGAGCCAGCACATCTCACCACACAAGGTCAGCGCCATATGTAAACACTCTTGAATGAATTGCCAGGTGTCTGCACTGGGCTTCCAGATGGGAAGGCCCACCAAGGTTCTGGCCCTCATGCCCCGTGTCTCCCACCTCATTGAAGAGTGGGCTGTTTCCCTTGTGGATCCGTGTCCGCTTGGTCTGCCCTGCAGCAGTAACCTTGACCACAGGCTTGATGTTCACCCCGGGCAGCTGGCGCCCCTCGATCACCTGGACCCTAATCTGAAAACCAGAAGGAGGAAAGAGTAGGAGGAAGGGGGAAGAGTTAAGGACCACCCACCATCCACCCCAAGAGTCAGAAATCTCAGGAACCATCTCACCACTGGCTTCTTGGGAAAAGTATTAGAAAGGAATTAGGAAGAGCATTATATGAACTATGATATTTTCCCACCAAGGCCCCTTAGATCTATAGAAAATTCCATAGCTCCATAGAAGAGCTGCCAGGCTGCCCCTCGTCAGCTACCCACATTAAACCCCAGGGGTGGGCAGACACAGCCCCCATTTATGTCATTCAGCCATTGGCACAAGCCCCACCCAAGACCCCATTGATACTGGCATTTTTAAGTGGCCTGAATGTTCTTTATTGACAATTCCCTCAGAGGTCGAACTTACACAGTGAAGTGACCCCAGAAATAGTCTTTATTCTTTATAAGATGCAATGCTTTCTTACAGTCTGAGAAATAAATTAAGAACTTTTTCCATTGAGCCGTAAGTAAATGAAGACTTCAGGAACATCTATGCTTCCAAACATTAGGTAAGATATTTTAAAATATGAAATTTTACAATATTAAGGCAATGGGAAGATGGATGAGTGATTTTTAATCTCCTCATTTTAATATATTTTCCAAACTTTCTAAAATAAACATATGTTATTTCCATAAAGAGAACAAAGGCAGTATGAACGTGTTTGGGGAATAATAGCACAGGGGCTAGAATTTTGTCTCTTGGGGCAAACAGTGGTTAGAGCTAGGACTTCTGCGTAAATTACCATGATTTAGAATAGAAACATATTTTTGCAATTTGTTGCACTTAGTATTATAAATAGAGATTTCAGGTTCCTGCTTTTAACCTTAAAAGTAGTTGTAAAGAGTTAAATATCACTGTGTGACTACATCAAAATAGAAAATTATTTTGAACAGAAAAAAAAAATAGGCAAAGGACCAAAGTTAAAAGCAAGTAAAATGGGATGGATTTTTGGATAAAAATGTGTCGAAGTGTTAACATTAATAGTTTTTATTCTGTGACGAGCTTGAACAAATTCAAATTCCATATGACTCTCAGAAAAATCCATGACTTTATGCAGGGAGATAGATATAGGGAGAAAAAAGATGTTAGACAGAGCTTCTCTGATGTAAGGATCTTGTTAAAATGCAGATTCTGGTAGAGTAGGTCTGGGTAGACCCTGCATCTCTAACAAGTACACAGGTGATGCAGAAGGTGCTGGACACGGACCACACCTGAATAGCCAGGAGCTTGCTGGCTGGATACTCCCTGGTTAGAAAAACAGATCGGAGATGCAAAGACATGCTGAATCTCTGCAGTGAGTTTTTTTGTTGTTGTGTTTTGTTTTGTTTTTTAAGTACAAAACCACGGGGCTGGGCAGAAGCTTGTTCTGTGGACCTAAGATGTGAACTCCCTGTTCGGCATCTGCCCAGACCCAGGGAAACTACAGGTTCCCCCCGCAGGAGGGCCCTGAGGATCCCACACACATCTTCCCCTGAAGCTGGACAAACCAGGCAGGTGCCTGGCACCAGCAGCTGATGGTTGAAGAGGAGCCTGGGGTCAGAGAAAGCCTGTTCATCACCTGGAAGTCCTGCGGTTTGTCTGACAGCAGCTTTCTAGATGTAGGTGCACTTCGCTTTCTTTTGATCCCGGGGTAGTGGGGTGGAGGATGCAAAGGTAGTTTCCTTGGGGTGGTGGGAGCCCCCGGCCCTCCGCTTTGATCCAGGAATGGCTCTGTCTCATCTCCAGTGAGTCCCTGGTCCTCTGTGTCTTCCTCTCCTCCTGTGTCTAAGAGGAGAGGACCCTAATGAGGCCTGGGTCCCTCTGGCCCTGTCCCTGCCCCTGGGACCCAGCCCAGGGGGCAGAAGATCCAAAAGGCATGGGCACTAAGACTCACCCCTCTCCCTCTCCCTCCTCCCTTCCCATCAGTGAGCCAGGATGGATAAGGTAGAAAGAAGAGGAGCTTTCAGCAGCTGAAACTTGAGGGCAGTCAGACCAGTTAGTCAACAGGAAGAAAACAGAATGGCCTAGCCCTCCCACCCACCAAGTCCTGCAGGATGAGTCCTCTGCCACCTGGGCCCACTCCAGCGAGCTGACCATGGCAGCGAGTGAGACAGTTACAGGGAGGGTCTGGGATCAGGACAGTCCTGGCCCGTGTCTCACCCATGGGGGCCGGCCACTTCTTTCCAGAGTATCTCGTGTCCACGGTGCTGTCACTGAGCAGGGACCAAGTCTCGGCCCGGCTCTGTCCCCCGCCTGTCTTGTGGGCAGGGCATAACCCCGGGAGGGGAGGGAGGAGGTTGGGGTGAGGGAAACCAACCTACTGCACCCCCAGCCCCAACCCTGCCTTCCCTGCCCACCCCTGCCTGGTGCAAAGCTCAGAAATAGCTGTGGTGCCCAGTGGCACCTGTCAATTCTCACCACCTCCCAGGCGTGTCCGGAAGCCTCCCCTGATTGGCCTGCACCTAACTCTGTCAGATCCACCTCAACATGGTCCCAGAGCATTCGGGTCCTCCCCGCTCCCCACCCTCTGCCACCAGGGGCACCTCTCCTTCCTCCCCTGAGCCCACTCCAGCTGCACAGCTCAGGATTACCAGGTTACTCCAGTCCAAACTGATCTCCCGTCTCTAAGCTCGGACAGTGCTGAGCCCCAATGAGATGGCTCTGCTCTGCCGACCTCACCACAGAGCCCTTTGCTGGGCTGGTCCCAGATCAGGCACAGGGCACACTCAGTTGAAACATGGGCTGCTCGGGTTTTAATGCTGTGCTTGCTTCTAGCTCCCTTCACTAAGAGAAAAACTCTAGAATCTTTCCCATGGGCAAGTGCCCCCTAGCCCGTCTGTGTAGCTTCCTCCCAACCCCAGCAGGCTGGACCACATGGAGGCTCCCACGCCCAGGCCCACCACTGGCGAGCCAGCCACCCCGGGATGACCAGGTTGGCAGATCCAAGTGAAGAGAGCTGAGACAGGCACAGCACTTAGCTAATTTAGTCTGCTCCCTTCACAAATAATCTATGGGCCCAGAGAGGGAAAGTAATCAGCCCAAAGTCACACAGGGACTCAGTGTCAAAGGTAGGACTGGAACCCTGAAGTTCAGCTCAGGGCTCTTTTAAGAAAAAAACTAGTTTTTTGTCACACACCATCACCGAAGGCCTGCTGGGTCCCGAGGCAGGGAAGCATTTGGTTCTGGGGAGTTTGTGGTGCCTCAGGTATCACCTGAGCCAGACCCTGTCCCCACACACCCTTCTGAGAGCTGCACAGCTCAGAACACCCAGTCTGGGCTCAGCCCGGTCCCCAGGCAGCTGGGGCTGGAAGGCATCTTCACACTACTCGCTGCAGCGCCCAAGGGAACCTGCCTGCTGCCCCTTCTTTCTGCACGGCAGAAGGCAACCCTCAGGACTTCCCACCCACTGCACCCTCTTCTCTCCAGGCCTGGGCAGCCCCCAACCTGAGGAGGGCAGCAAAGGCTGGGAAGCCTCGCTGCAGCTCCCAGCCCCCAGGCTCAAGTGCCACTGCCGGCCTTCTTGCTGGGGCTCGGCCAGGCCAATGTAGGCTACTCACCTGCCACTACATCCAGGTCAGGCAGAGTTGGGGAGGGCTCCAGAGGAGTAGGCGGCGGGAACAGGGGCACAGCTCCAGGCAGCGGTGTGTAGGACACCTGCAGGACCAGCGAGGCCTGGAAGAGATGAGACATGGGAGACAGGTAAGTACACTGGCCTCGGACCACTGCCCTCCGGTATCTTCCCTGTTTCTGGCATCCCTCCACCAAGGAATATGGCTCTGACAAGAGCCAGGTTTGCAGGAGGCTGTGGCAAAGGCACCCCCAGGGACCTATCAGCATAGTCAGGTGGTTCGAAGCACAGAATCTGGGGTCAGTTTCCACCACTCAGGAGCTGTGTGACCTTAGGCAAGATCTGTGACCTCCCTCGCCTCAGTTTCCTGATTCCTCACAGGTCAAATGTGGAGTGAATTAGTTGATGTAGCACGTAGTGGGCTTCTGTAAATGAATCAGGGATCCAACCTCTCTTGCAGGATTTTTCCCACTCTCCACTCGGCCTGTCTTCAGGAAAATGTCCCTTTGGCCACTCTGCTCAGTCAATGGCTCGCCCCTACTTCTCCAGGGACGACTCAGCTTTGCTCTGCTTTGCTCAGGCTGCAGCTAGCACTGAGAGGGTCTCAGCGTGCTGCCAGCCTTGCGGAGCCCTCTTCCTTCCTGACCCCACCACATCCTCAGCTGCCCCAGCTTGCACCGGCCAGAGAGGAGAGGGACTGGTGACATCCCTCACAGACAAGGTCGAGTTGCCCATGTGCCCACCCCAACCCTCACCCCGAACCTGGGAATGGCACAACCTCAGCAGGCTCTGCAGCCTGGTTGCTCCTGGGCCTGCCTGAGCCCTGCCCTGGCACCACAGGCCCAGTAAGCCTCTTGGGGCAGCCATTCTCTCAAATTAGCGCAACAGATACTCTAAGAAAGTTTGGGAAGCACAGAAAGCTTTGGAAAAATAATGCAAAAGAAAACCAATTGTCGGCTGGGCGCGGTGGCTCACGCCTGTAATCCCAGCGCTTAGGGAGGCCGAGGCAGGTGGATCACGAGGTCAGGAGATCGAGACCATCCTGGCTAACACGGTGAAACCCCGTGTCTACTAAAAATACAAAAAATTAGCCGGGCGTGGTGGCGGGCGCCTGTTGTCCCAGCTACTTGGGAGACTGAGGCAGGAGAATGGCATGAACCTGAGTGGTGGAGCTTGCAGGGAGCCGAGATCACGCCACTGCACTTCAGCCTGAGTGACAGAGCGAGACTCCGTCTCAAAAGAAAAGAAAAGAAAAGAAAACCAATTGTCCATAATTCCCTGACTCCACATTCCAGTTCTCTCCAATCTTTCAAACAAATAGTAGACAGGTCTGCTGTATGCAAAATGATTTTCTTTTACTGAATGTCAGACAATAAGCTCTCCCCAGGTTTTGACAAACCCTTTATAAACACAGTTTTTACTGAGGCATAATGTCCCTCTGAGTGGCTCTCGCTAGTTCACTGGACCTTTCTGCTGAATGATGTTAGGGACGTCCAGGGACTCACAGAGCAAACTCAGTCCCAAGACAGAAAGGCCTGAAGGCTCCTGACACACTCCACTCTTGAGCTTGAACTCTCCAGACTGGGGCCCGGGACAGCCACACTAAGGGAGAGCAGCACTGGTGGAAAGCAAGGCACAGAACACTGAGGAAGGAGGCAAGAGCCAGCTCAGCATCCCAGGAGACTCAGGAGGAGGTCGACAAAGGCAACTGCGACCCTCAAATTCCCTCACCCAAGGCATGGCCATAACCTGCCCTGTGGGTTCCTGAATCACCACCAGGTGTCGCCACTTGAGCAGTCAGTCCCCTCAGTTCCTGCAACCCGGTGGAGGGGAAGAAAAGAAAAAGCCTTCCTGTCCCTCCAGACGCCACACCTGACTCCTAGAGATGCCAGTTCAGTAGGTCTAGGGTGGCCCTGGGTATTTGCACTTTTAACAACTGTCCTGGGACTTTCTTCCACTTCAGCGAAAGGTAAGTTGGGCTCTTTGGAGAAATAACTACTTCCAGGGCTAGGGCAGAGAAGATACAAAATGAGCCTGGACCATCTTCTTGCGCCAGAAAGGAAGGAAATGCTTAATGAATGAATGATTCTTAAAAACACGTCAAAAGAGGCTGGGCAAGGTGGTTCACACCTGTAATCCCTTTGGGAGGCCGAGCCAGGCAGATCACTTGAGGTCAGGAGTTTGAGACCAGCCTGGCCAACACGGTGAAACCCTGTCTCTTCTAAAAATACAAATAATATTACATGGTGGCATGCACCTGTAATTCCTGCTACTTGGGAGGCTGAGGCAAGAGAACTGCTTGAACCTCAGAGGCAGAGGTTACAATGAGTCGATCACACCACTGCACTCCAGCCTGGGTGACAGAGTGAGACTCCACCTCAAAAACATAAAACAAAATAATAAATAAATAATAAAAAGTAAAAACATGTCAAAAAGACACAGAAGCCAACTTTCAAGAGCTCCCACAGGCCAAATCTGAGACAACAGAAACATGAAAATACAGAATAACAGTAACAGGTTAAACAATTGAATAAAATAGAAACACACAAATCCATATTGCAATAAATAAATAGGAGAGGAGAAAGCTTTTCCTGACCACAAAATGCCAACTGACTAATGCAGGAAAAATAACTGAGAATATCACTATTTAGCAATCATCAAAGCAATAATGAATTCAACCAAGAAACAGCAGTGATGTTAAAACTCCTGGTATGGCCAGGTGCAGTGACTTACGCCTGTAATCCCAGCTCTTTGGGAGGCTGAGACAGGAGGATTTCTTGAGCCCAGAGTTCAAAACCAGCCTGGGCAACATAGTGAGACCCCCCATCTTTACAAAAAATAAAAAATTAGCCAGGCGTGGTGGTCCACGCTTGTAGTTCCAGCTACTCAGGAGGCTGAGGCAGGAGTATCACTTGAGCCAGGGAGGGCAAGGCTGCGGTAAGCCATGATTACACCACTACACTCCAGCTGGGCAACAGAGCGAGACCAGTCTCAAAACAAAAACAAAAACAGTTCATGGAGGCTGGGCACAGTGGCTCACACCTGTAATCCCAGCACTTTGGAAGGCCGAGGCAGGTGGATCACCTGAGGTCAGGAGTTCAAGACCAAGGCCTGGCCAACTTGGTAAACCACCGCCCCCCACCGTCTCTACTAAAAATACAAAAAATAGCCAGGTGTGGTGGCATGCCCCTGTAATCCCAGCTACTCGAGAGGCTGAGGTGGGAGAATTGCTTGAACCCGGGAGGCAGAGGCTGCAGTGAGCCGGGATCTCACCACTGCACTCCAGCCTGGGCGGCAGAGTGACACACCATCTCAAAAGAAATAAAAATAAAAATAAACAGCTCATGGAACTCATGGGTAAAGGTTAGATGACAAAGAGGATATTACAGAGTCACAAAATTCTGACATGAGAACGGGGAGTAGATGAATGACTAGCAGGGACACCCAGCAGATGCTAGTGTAATCAAATGATCACAGTTAGCAGTGCGGTGACCAAACGAATCACAATCATCCCACCTGATAGGGCACAAAGAGAGCCACGCAGCATCAGTGTCACACTCACACCCAAGATGCACAGCCTAAATCTTAATGCAGGAAACATCAGGCAAAACCAGCGTGGGGGACATTCTACAAGCAATTTGCCTGAATTTCAAAAAAATAGCCAGCTATAAGGTTATAAAAGTCAAAGAAAGACTGAGGAAGTATTCCAAACGGAAGAAAACTGAAGAAACAGAACAACTAGGTGCAACACATGAGCCTCAGGGGGATCCTTCTGCTACAAAGGACACTGTGGGAAAAATGAATGAGCCGGGACTGGGGTCTGGGAATTAGATGAGAGTGCTGTGTCCATGTTAGTTTCGTCCTTTGGAAGGCTGTGTTTTGGTTATGTAGGAGAAAGTCCTTAACTGGAGAACAGCACACTCAAGTTCAGAATGATGGGCCAGGAGACAAATAAAGCCCGCTGCCCATCCATGCTGACTCCAGCCCTCCAAGAGTAGCATGAGGTCAGGACCAGCTGCATAATGTGCAGGCCCAGCACAAAATGAAAATGCAGAGCCCATTATTCCAAAAGGAAAAATTAGCTGGACACGGTAGCCACGCTTGTAGTCCCAGCTACTCAGGAGGCTGAGGCGGGAGGATCACTTGAGCCTACTTGAGCCAGGAGGTTAAGGATGCAGTGAGCCTTAAGAATTTCAAGATAGAAACAGTAGAGAATTAAGCCAAGCAAGAGGCCCTTGTGAGCGCAGGACTCCGTGCAGGGGCCCCAGAGGCCAGGCCTGGGTGGGGTGTTTGTTTGACGTGGCCCGAGTTGGGCCCACATCTGAAAGACAAGGAGTGAGGGCCTACCTGACATGTGTGGCCTGACCCTTTCATTCATTAACTCACATGTTCATTCCCTCGACGTGTGTGTGTGCATGCGTGTGTGTGCACATGTGCATGCGTGTTGGGCACCTGCCAGGGCCAAACACACTGTTCAGGATTCTGGGGACACTTCCATAAATAAGGCAAAGGCCCCTGCCTCCATGGAGCTGATGTCTTGGCAGAGAAGACAGACAATAAATAATAAACAAAATAAATACACAAAGAAGAGAGTAAGTCAGAAAGAAAAGAAAAAGTAAACCAGAGCAAGAAAGATCAGGGCAACAACAGGGTTTGCAGGTTGCAGTGTTAAATCAAGCGGTCTGAGGGGACCCCCGTGAGGAGAGGAGAGTTAAGCAAAAACTTGAAAGGGCCACACCTGGGCTGCCCTTGGGCCTCTGACCTTGGAGACAGATCCCCTGGAAGAGCGCCCCTTCCTGTTTCTAGGGGCTCACCCTGCTATCCAGTCGCTGCACACCACCTGGGGGCTGCTATACACCGTCTCTGTGAGAGGTGGGGCCGCCGGAGTGTAACTCCTCCACACCATGCCCAGTGCCAGCTCCTCAGCACTGGGGCTCGGGAGCAGCCCTCTCCAGGATGCAGACAGGAGCAGCCCTCTCAGACAGAGGGCTCCGGAGACCACTTAGGCAGCCCCTCCTGGGGTTTCCTGAGCATCCGGTGTTTCTACACCGACAGCTCCACACCAACCTCCTGAAGAACTGGCACCATCCGGGTGGCTCTGGGCCCTTGAATGAGACTTCTGGCACAGAGCAAGGTCCGTCTTCTAGCTGCCCATCAGGAAGCCACAGGCATATCCCTGCAGCTCCAGAGGCTCTGGAGCTCAGAGTCTAGAAGAGATCTCAGCACCAGGGCATGAGCCCCAGTGACCACGGCTTCAGGATCTGATGGTGAATTCCTAAATTCTTTGGCTCTGGTGAGGCTCTTAAGGGAAAGTGGGCATGCCCGTGGGCCCCACCCAGGACCAGGACCTTGTACCCTCACCGTGACATCACAGCTCAGCCCCTGTCTCCTTCTCTAGACGAACAGAGCTGAGATTTTCCTCCTGGGGGATGTATAGGAGCCCTGTGCTCTCCCAGACCACACAACCTGGGCCTAGAGTCCCAGTGGGACCCTCCTCAAGGTCCTCCACATCACAGGTCCCCGCCTGACAGCCCAGGTCCTCAGGTCTCCAGCCCAGCAGCACTCCAGGGCTCTCCCCGCACAAGGCCATTGTCAGTCAATCGTGTGCCCACCAAACATCCTGCCCTGCAGCAGGGTAACCTCGGTCACCCTCATCTGCTGCCTTGGGGCCCACAGTCAACATCAGCAGAACTTGAGGCTCCTGTCTGGCCCCAGGCTAAGAGGGTTCAGGAAACTGAAGGCGAATGACCTCCTCAGACCCTCCCTGGCCGTGACCCTCCTCTAGGTTGTGTGGTCAGGCTCTGGGGTCCTTTGCCCACCCTGCCACGCCCAACCCATTGTGTGCCACCTACTTCCTCGACCACAGCTCTCCAACACTGAGCTCATCAAAACCAAAACCCAGACCAGCCCACTCTCACCTCCCCTAACACACATGTCCTGTGTGGACAAGACAGGCCTGATATGTGCCTGGCCCTCACTCACCTCTCCCTCAGACAACCTCCAGAAGCAGGCGGAGGGTAGCTGTGGCCCTGAGTTGATCCAGGGTTGGTTGGCAGAAGCTCCATACCGTTGAAGAAAGCTCAGGGACTCACTGAGCACTGTCCTGCCCACTTCAGGTCCCTGCTCCCAACACACAGTGCCTCCTGGCTCCCTGACCTGCACACCACTGGGCTTCGTGGGCTCTTGTCCTCCTTTGTGACCCGACTCCGGCTTTAAGGCCTGGGTGATGCCTACTGAGTTTTCTCCATGTGTCCACACCTTCATGAGTGAGCTGCTCTTAAAATACATCTGGGAGGATGCTACTTCTTTTCCTCCGTGTGTCCTAAATCCCCATGGCCTGGAGGTTCCTCCAGGACAGGGGGAGTGTTTTCCCCCATCAACCTAGCAGCGGCCAGACGGTAGAGTTAGCATCCTACATGGCACACAGCCCAGCGTGCCATATCTGAAGAGACTCGGGTGAGAACACTGAGCAAAAGGCAAACAGGGTCGGCAGTCAGTCTGCGGCAGGACTCCCGGCCTCCCCCACGCCTCTCAGTCTGCCAGAGTTTCCTAAGGAGCCCACTGGCCCTGTATTCATTCCTATCACCCCATCAGCAGGTTCCTTGGCCCTTAGAGGCAACTGAGCTACAATGAACTGGGGGCACCTGGCATGCTCTGCTGATTGGGCTCAGCTGAGACATGAGGTCTCAGTGAGTGGCCAGTGAGAACCCTCAATGTTGTTGGCTCTCTGTCCCTGCCAAGCACACCTCCAGTTATCCCTACCTCACACTACAGTGCAGCCAGCCCAGGTCCCAGGCAGGAAGCCCCAGCCCATAGGGTCGTACGACCTGTGTGGGGCTGCTCTGTGACCTTAATGCCATCACACAGACTAGAATCTGGTCCTAGACCCTCTGCACAGGTGATGACTCCCTCCTGGGCAACAGGGAGGAGGTTCCCCTACCCACTCCATTTCCAGCCCGTGCTCAGTTAGTGGGGCTCAACCCAGCAGGGTCCAGCACTGTCTCCCATCTACCACCTCCTGGATCTCGCACACCCTTCTTGGACACATGGTTGGTGAAGGATTATAAAGTTCTGCAGACAGCCAGGAATCTCTGGCCAGGGAAGAGAAGGCAGCAGGCTCCCCGCTGGTAAGCTTGAAGCCCAGACAGTGTGTGAATGAGGAGCAGGAGTAGGCGAGGGGAAGCATGGAGGGGATGGCCCCAGCCTGGCACGGCCCCATGAACAGGGACCAGCTATGGAAAGTTCTGCCTTGGGGCTGGACAGGCCTTTGAGGTTGGAGGGGACCGAAGGGCAGGAAATGTCAGTCATGGATGCACACAGAGCTGGAGTGGAGAGATGCTGGCGTCCCAGCAAGGAAGTGAGAACCAAGCCTGACCCCAAGGCTCTCTCTCGCCAGCTGCCTTGGTACCTGTCATCTCTCCCTCCGTGTTCTGTGCCTCGAGGGTTGGGTCTGAGACTCCTCGGGACCCCTGAAGGGGTAGTTCCAGAACTCCTTGGGGTCCTCCTTGACCACAGGGAGTGTTAAGGGACTGGAGGCTCAAAGGGAGGATGACAGGGGACTCAGGGTGATAGAGACAGGCTCAGTGAATACTGCTCTAAACCAGAACGTTCTGCCAGTGAGCCCTGTGTGGGAAAGGGATGGACTCTCCTGGGAAGTGACATCTCCCATCAAGGGGACAGCCCGGCCATCCCCAGCCTAAGACCCCTCGGGAGCAAAGTCCAGCACTGGGAGGGCAGCAGACTGGGAGTTCAGTGAACCAGGAGTCCATCCACCGCCATTCCACCAGAGGGTCTAGGGGATGAGCTCCTAGTCCAGGCCCCCGTGGGGACAGCCACTGACTGTGTGACTTCAGGGGTTCCTTTTCTCTAGGTCTCAGCATCCAGTCTCATTCCATTCAGAGATCTGCCCAGACCAGCCACTTCCTGACTCACCCAGCCAGCCAGGAGCCCTGGCCTCACACACCCGCCACGGGGCAGTGCAGCTGCCCTGCCTGAGAGAAGTCGGGACCTGAATCCCCCAGACCTCACAGGGAGGAAGTACTTCCAATCCATGGTTCCTGGTACATCCTGGAAGGCGGGGCTGGCCCACAGGAGAGGTCAAGAATTCTACCAGGAAGAGAGAACCCTGCAGGGTATATTTAGCTCACTAAAAATAACAGGCAGAGAGGAGGGCTGGGAATTGTCTGATTGGACTTGGGGAGTGCTGAGAAGGCCAGGGGAGGGGCAGGAAGAACAACGGAGGAAAAGGAAGAGGGTCCCGGTGGGCAGGGGAGAGGGCTGTTTCCCCCCTCCCTCATGCCCTGTGACCCAGATATCTCAGAGATTCTGAATGTGGAAAAGAGGGCTGGGTGGTGAGGGAGGAGGGGAGGTCTGCCAGGGAGACTAGGTGGGCTATAGCCAAGGCTGACCAGGAAGCTGGGGACAGGAGGTGGCCAGACAGGCAGCCCCAGACCAAGGGACAGGCCAAGCTGCTGCGAGCCAAGGCTGACTTGAGCCCTGCAGATGGCGTCGGGGCTCCCTCTGCCCTTCCCATCTCCCCTAGTCCAGTGCCTCTCCAGACACGGCAAACTCTGGTCAGGGAGGGCCAGGCCTGCTTCCTGGGAGCTGAAGTCAGACACGTGTCTGGGGTCAGAATGGCAAGGCCCAAAGAGGAAGCCACCTGGCAATGCCTTGGACCATAACCTGGCAGAGGCTGATGGGCACTTACCCCTGTGGGCTGCTTCTTGGTGTCCAGCAGGGGGGCATTGAAGCTGGCGGACAGACTAGGGGTGGCGAGGACCTCTCGGAGTGGGACCTTGGCTTCCCCCAGGAACCTGAGAGGAGAGAGAAGTCAAATGTAGAAAACTGGCCTAAGGCACCCTGGCTCCTCTGCCAGACCCCTCACTGCCACCACTCAGACGAGGCTGGTCTGACAGTCACCTGGCACCCCACGAGGGCTCCCCTGCACCCCCATACCCAGTCACCACCATGCGCCATTCCTGGAAGGCCTGGCCCCTGGGGAAATACTTGGGCATGGGAAGAGATAAGAGATACCTTTCCTTTCCCAAGGTCCACCTTGGCCCCTTCCCGCCCCTCCACAGAGATGAAGGGTTGTCTTCCCATGAGCCCTTGACAGTCCACCAGGTCAGTATCTCATCAGCCCCACACTGCCCCTGAGCCCCAGCAGCTCATACAACCCACGTCTACACAGGCCGTCTGTATTGGAATCCCGGGGCTCAGCCAGCAGTGATTGTACCAGAAAAGCAAAGAAACCTTCCTGTCTTCAGGGACAGGGAGAAAAGGATACTGGGGCAGGGGAAACAGGCCCCACTCCTGAGAGGCCTTGAGCGGTCCGTACCACACACACCAGAGGCTGCATTTCTGACTGACAGGAGGGGTGGGGCACATGGATGGGTTATTAGGAAAGAGTAGGTTGGCAGTGCGATGGTTGGCACATGCTCCCTTCAAAGAGTGCAGAGGAAGCTATGAAGTGGGCTCACCATGTAGTCTGCCCCTCTGTAGGGGCAGCAGGAAACCAGGGGCAGAGAGTGGCCTGTGACCATCAGAACCTGTTGCCTGGTGTCTGTGTGTGACTTCTGCTTGCCTCCTGGGAACTGGACTTACCCTGCATATTACTGTCAGGGCACAAGGCCATGTTAGGCTGGTGAACAGCCACAGGTGTACTTCTTAATTGCTTTTTCCTGATGGATGAACAGTACCCCTGTCATCTGGGACCATTCCTTTTCTGGTCTCTGCAAATACTGATTGGAATACAGATTTTTATGACCCTATGAAATAAAACTGCAATCTTGACCTAATAGGTGTTTTTCTTTTGGTTTTTTTTGAGATGGAGTCTTGCTCTGTCGCCCAGGCTACAGTGCAGTGGCATGATCTCTGCTCACTGCAACCTCTGCCTCCCAGGTTCAAGCAATTCTCCTGCCTCAGCCTCCTGAGTAGCTGGGATTATAGGCACATGCCACCATGCCTGGCTAATTTTTGCAATTTTTTAGTAGAGATGGGGTTTCACCATGTTTGCCAGGCTGGTCTCGAACTCCTGCTTGTGATCCGCCCACCTCGGCCTCCCAAAGTGCTGGGATTACAGGTATGAGCCATGGCGCCCAGCCACTAGGTGATTTTTAAAACTGATTACTCACACTGAGATACCACTTCACATTCATTAGGATGGCTATTATAAACACACACACACACACACACACACACACACACACACACATTCCTGGAGAGAAAAATCACAGGTGTTGGCCAGGATATGGAGAAACTGGAATGCTTGTGCACGGCAGGTAGGGATGTAAAATGGTGCAGCCACTGTGGGAAACAGTATAGCAGTTACTCAAAAAATTAAACATAGAATAAGCATGTGATCCAGCAATTCCACTTCTGGATATATACCCCAAAAGAAATTGAAATCAGAGACCTAGATATTTGCACACCTGTGTTCACAGCAGTATTATTCACAATAGCCAAGAGGTGTAAGCAAACCAAGTCTCTATCAACAGAGGAGTAGATAAACAAGATGTGGTCCATCCATACAATGGAATATTATTCAGTCTCAAAAAAGAAGATTTCAACACATGCTACAATATCATGAACCTTGGAGACATTCTGCAGAGTGAAATCAGCCAGTCACAAAACAACAACTATTATATGAGTTCACTTATATGAGGTAGCTAGAGTAGTCAAATTCATAGAAAGTAGAATGGTGGCTGCGACAAGCTTGGGGGAGGAGGAAGTGAGGATTTATTATTGAACAGGTACAGAGTTTCAGTTTTAGAAGATGAGAACATTCTGGAGGTGGACGGTGGGAATGCCTGCATGACATCGTGAATGCACGTAACGCCACTGAACTGTGTGCTCACAAATGGTTAAAATGGTAGTGTTTATGTCTATTTATCATAATAAAAATTAAAATAAAAAACTAGCCACTTATTTAAGCTTCTCAACAATGAAATCCCTCTTTTTCCATCCTTCTTGAAAGCAGCAGACTCTGTCGCCTTGCCCATGCCCTTCTAGCAAGGCAGTAAATGTAATATACACTCAAGGTCCATTTTCTAACCCTTCCTGAAAGAAGGGGATAGAGGGGGAGAGATATTCACTAATATTCAATCCAGGGTTCGAAGTCCCCTCACAGTGCTAGCAGCCATATTTTCTAGAATGTAAACTGATTTGTGTTCCATTCCTTCATAGCATGGAGCAGGGTTTTTACCATCGCTTAATAAGCTTGGGTCCTGTAGTGTCTCCATCCTAGGGGCTAGTGCCAGAAGGTATGTTGACTGAATTGTCCTCAGGACCTAGGCAATGTCACAAAGACCAGACAGTAGGTATAGAGGACACATGAGTCCACGCGACATCAGAGATCAGAGTCACCCTGTCCATCACGAGAAAACTGGGGTGGCAGAGGGGAGTGACTTGCTCAAGTGGGAGAATGGCTGAGTCAGCCCCAGGACCCGGGTATCTAGGTTCCCTGTCAATCCCCCAGAGCACTGAGGCTTCTCTTCTTGGGGACTGGGAGGCAGGGCCCAAGGAGGCCTCATGGACCAGAGAGCTGTACATGGCAGCTGGACCTCCAGCTTAGGAGCCCTCAGGACTGAGCAGAGCAGAGTAGCAGCCAGGTCATAGGGTGTCAAGAAAAGCCAGACCTCCTCTGCCTCCCTTGCGGTTGTCCAGCCCTCCCAGCCCAGGGAGAATTCCCGGAAGTGGGTCAAGGAACAATGGCAGGAAATGCAGAAGGAAGCAGCACCCCCACCCCTGCCAGCCTGGGGTGCGTCTTGGATGCCCAAGACACAGCAGCCAGAGTTGACTGCTTGTTACTTCCTCCCTTAAGTGTCTTTTGGGGCTATGAAATACACCCCCGCAACCCCTGCTATAGGCCTGGGAGTAAGTCCCTCCAAGAAGAGTGGCTTCACCAGCCCCCACTCCTGCAGGAGGAAGGGCTGGAAACAGCAGGGCAGGCTGCTTCTCCCACAGTGTAAGGAGCAGGCTGTGGTAATCAAGTTCACAAGAGTCAGGGAAACTCAGAGCCTCCCAGGAAGCCTTGCTCAGGGAGGAAAGGAGGGGGGTACAGAAGAGGGACCCCCTGGGAGGCTAGAGGGGTCTACGGCTTGGTTACAGAAAACCCAGAAGGCCACTCATCATTCATCCATTCATTTCACAGAGGATGGAGAAGATGTGGCTTTATCCAGGGGCCGCCAGGTCTGGGGCCCGTGAGGAGACCCACCCCATCTGGAGTCAGACTGAGGCACAGGCTCCAGGGCCAGGTGCCCTCTGCTCATCAGGGATGCTGCACGCTCAGTGGGCACCAACCAGGGGCCTGGCAAGCGGCAGACAGGATTCCAGAGGGTCGGATGAGGCAAGGAGGGGGCCAGGGGTCCCGCACAGGGCCAGCTCTGAGTGTGTGCAGAGCTTACACAGGTGGAAATGACACCCGTGGGCCCTGGTCAAACCCCTGCAGCCCACATGGAGGAAAATACCACAGGCGCTCCCAGCCTCCACACACCTCTTGGCTAGCTGTGCTCTGGAACTACTGGAATGTGGGGGCTGGAGAAGTGTGGGGACTGAAAGAGCCACAGCTATCCCAAAGAAAGATAAGGCAGGAACTGGCATGGGCAAGGGAGGGAGAGGCCAAGGCAGCTTGTGGTCTGACAGGGCACACGCTTTTCCTCCATGGAAAAAGAACTAGTTCCCAAACTCACCATCCAGGGATGCTGCTACTGCCCTATGGCAGAAGGGAAGGAGGCATGGGTGGCCCCCAAACCTTAGCCTTAGGCAGCATGTGGGAGTGTGGGAATCATGGCAGCCAAGTCAATTTATTTTAATGAAGCATAAAGAAATCAAAACAATTTTATTTTAAAACACTGGTCTTATTACATCATTGTAAGAACAAAACAAAACACAGGAGGCAATTGAAATGTCCATCATAGACAACAGGTAAATAAGGTACAGTACATTCATACAATGGAACACTAGACAGCTATAAAAATAATGGGGAATTATTCACTTATGTGGAAAATCTTCAAGATACAGTGTTAAGTGATAAAACAAGGTGCAAAAGAGCATGTATAATATGCTACTTGCTGCATAAAAAAAGAGGAAAGTTAGAATCTATATGGGCAATTAAGCAATAATATAAGATCTCTGGAATGATCTATGAGAAACTAAGAAGAGGGACCGGGCGCGGTGGCTCAAGCCTGTAATCCCAGCACTTTGGGAGGCCGAGACGGGTGGATCACGAGGTCAGGAGATCGAGACCATCCTGGCTAACACAGTGAAACCCCGTCTCTACTAAAAAAATACAAAAAATTAGCCGGGCGAGGTGGCGGGCGCCTGTAGTCCCAGCTACTCGGGAGGCTGAGGCAGGAGAATGGCGTAAACCCGGGAGGCGGAGCTTGCAGTGAGCCGAGATCCGGCCACTGCACTCCAGCCTGGGCGACAGAGCGAGACTCCGTCTCAAAAAAAATAAAAAAAAGAAACTAAGAAGAGGGGTTACTTATTGGGGAATAGGAAGAACTGGGCAGATCAGGGACAAAGAGGCCAGGGAGAATTTTCACTGCATTTTTAAATATAGTTTCTGTTTTTATAACTTCTTAAAGTTGTTACCAACGTAAACAATTAAATTTAAAAACAAAACATAAAAACTCCTTAAAAGTCTTAGAATTTATTCATTCAACAAATACTTATTTAGTATGTGCAACAAAA